ACCTTATTTTTCAGTCAGGTTAATTTAAATTCCTGAAATTCAGCAGCCTGACAAAAATCTCTTCTATCCAATGACTTAGTCTTGTTCTCCATTGCAACACAAAAGAGGGTTCCCCAAAGCCTAAGAGTATCCCTCTCCCCAGCCAACATTTGCTTCAAGGACTCATGCAGTGCTCTTATGAACTCTAATGAGGAAAAAAAATACTCTCTTGGGTAGTGTCTTAGTCAGGGTTTCTATTGCTGTGAAGAGACACCATGACCACGGCAACTCTTACAAAGGAAAACATTTAATTGGGGCTGGCTTTCAGTTCAGAGGTTCAGTCCATTTTCATTATGGTGGAACATGGTGGCATGCAGGCTGACATGGTGCTGGAGAGGGAGCTGAGAGCTCTACTTCTTGTAGGCAACAGGAAGTGGACTGAGTATTACACTGAGGGAAGCTTGAGCAGAAGAGACCTCAAAGCCCGCCCCCACAGTGACACACTTCCTCCAACAAGGCCACACCTCCTCCAACAAAGCCACACCTCTTAATAGTGCCACTCCCTTTGGGGCCATTTTCTTTCCAACCACCAAAGTGGGATATTTGTGGAGTCTCTTTGTGAGTATTGGAGGTGGAGGCGTGTTCAGTTCTGACCGGTAGTGATGAGTTTTTCTCCACCATCTCAGGTTTGAAAGGAAGTAGGAGCGCTTTGGGGTGCTCAGAGTTAGGACATTTGGCAAAAACTCATGTTCAAGATGATTTTGAGTAATCCCATGTATCAAATCTTGATCATTAAAGTGTGGCTCAGCTAAGGCAGGGTTTGTCTAAGTACTTGTGAGCTTAGAAGAGGAAGATTTTTATGAGAACAGTAAAGCTTTCTTTTAGGAATATTCTGAGTTAGCAGCAGCCTACAGCTTTGATATACTAGGTAATCCAGTTAATTAATTAGTGAAATTGTTACGGGAATAAATTGAGACAGTGCCCCATGTAGCCTAAGCTGGCCCTCAACTCACTCTGCAGCTATGATCTTGAACTCCCAGCCCTCCTGCGTACACTGCTAAAGCGCTGGGATTATGGGTGTATGCCACCACCGCTGGCTAGAAAGACATTTGTTTGGGGGTGTGGGGAAGGTAGGACAGGGAGCAGTTGAGTCTGTATTCTTAACTATTTGTTACTTTTATCTAATGGGTATGGGTGTTTGCTTGCATGTATGTCTGTGCAATACATGTATGCAGTGCCAGAGGAGGCCAGAAGAGGGCATCGGATGCCCTGGAACTGGAGTTACAGATGGTTGTGAGGGGCCATGTGGGTGCTGGGAACGGAACCCATGTCCTCTGCAAGAGCAAGTGGTGCTCTTACCCACTGAGCATCTCCAGTCCACTGAACCTGTGTTTTTAAAACATTACAAAAATATTTTCTACAATAACCAAAATAGTAAATAGTGTGAAACAGAGCCAAAGGAAACACATTTAAAGATGTGCATATAATACCCAGAAACAAATGCAAATATGCAAATTGTGTAAGAATGGAATTTATTCCCCCAGTTACTAAACACGTGCGGTGTGTATCACACCTGCAGGAAAAGGATGGATTGTTTATTTAGGAAAATCTTTTTCCTTACACTTAGGGATTCTATAGGTTAAATATGAAAATCATACACGTTGCTAGATAAAATATAGAGAATAGCTGTAAAGAGAAAAGTAAGCCAGAGTGAAATCGTCTAAAATAGAATTAAATTTTTTTTCCATTCTTGACTCTGTTTTGCCTGAGAAATTTTTAAATTAAATTTTTTAAAGTATTTTTTTTTCTTTTTCTTTTTCAGTATGAGTGGTCTGTCTGCATGTATGCCTGGAGGCCAGAGGAGGGCATCAGATCCCATTATAGTTGTGAGCCAGCATGTGGTTGCCAGGACTTGAACTCAGGACCTCTGGAAGAGCAGCCAGTGCCTAAATTAGAATTTCAAAACTTATATATCAGTGGTGGCGCATGCCTTTAATCCTGGGACTCAGGAGGCAGAAGCTGGTGTATCTATGAGTTTGAGGCCAGCCTGGTGTACATAGTGAGTTCCAGGGATCAGCCAGGGCTACCCAGAGAAACCCTGTCTCAAAGAAGAACTTATGTTTGTGTATGTGTGCATGTGCTACTCCGTGAGCATGGTCAAAGGACAGTCTGTGGGAGTCAGTTCTCTCACTCCAGCATGTGGGTCCTGGGCAATGAGCCCAGGTTATCAGGCTTTAGCAGCAAATGCCTTTACCCCAGGGACTCGTCCTGCTGGCCCATGCCTGAGAAGTTCTTAAACAACCCTGCTGGGCTACAGGTATCTAAAACAACTAAATCAAACATGTATTAATAGTAAATCATTAAGAATTATTTTAAAACGATTGATTGGTATATATGTGATTTTGCCACTTGTTAAAGATGAAAGTAAATTTACATACTAATGAAATTAGTGTACTTGTTTATTTTTACATAAATGACTACATCTTGACTGAATATTTGATTCTGCAGAACATTAAACAGAGTTAATCAGTATTTTTATTTTATAATTGGGCAACACTGAGAATTCTGCTTTGTTTAAATATATAGTACAAAATGGCAGAAGTCTGTTTAGGGTCTTTTTATAAAATGTTAAAAATTCTGTCCTAATCCCAAGACAAAATTCACTTAATGATTTAAAAAAAAAAAATATTGTATGTGTATTTGTGTTTTGTCTCCATGTATTTATGCGCAACACGTGTGTGCCCGGGGCTGGAAGAGGCCAGAAGAGGGCATCCTGTCTCCTAGAAGTGGATTTGCAGACAGTTGTGAGCAATCATGGGGGTGCCGGAAACTGAGCTGTGAGAACACCAAGTGCCCTTAACCACTGAGCCATCTCTCCAGCTCCCATTTAGTGATTTAATGACTGAAACTAAAGTCAGCACCTTAACTGGTACCTCAGTTTCTCTTCCCGTTGCTATGGTAAAATACTTTGACAACTGCAAATTTTAAAGGAGGAGTTTATTCTGGTTCACAGTTCATGGCATAGTCCATCACGATGTGGAAGTCAAGGTGTGGGAGCTTGAAGCAGCGGTCTCATCACATGTACAATCAGGAGGCAGAAAACAATGAAGGCATGCTGCTTATCTCCTTTGCTCCATTTACAAAGACTGAGGTCCCAGTCAGGGAAGGGCGTCACTTATAGTGACCAGTCTTCTCCCACAGGCATGCCCAGAGGTTCATTTCCAGTGGTGATGGTGTCTTAGTTACTGTTGTATTGCTGTGAAGAGACATCATGACTGTCTTAGAGTTCTGTTGCTGTGGAGAGACACCATGACTGTCTCAGTCAGTGTTCAATTGCTGTGAAGAGACATCACGACTGTCTTAGTGTTCTGTTGCTGTGAAGAGACACCGTGACTGTCTCAGTCAGTGTTCTGTTGCTGTGAAGAGACATCATGACTGTCTTAGAGTTCTGTTGCTGTGGAGAGACACCATGACTGTCTCAGTCAGTGTTCAATTGCTGTGAAGAGACACTGGACTGTCTTAGTGTTCTGTTGCTGTGGAGAGACACCGTGACTGTCTCAGTCAGTGTTCTGTTGCTGTGGAGAGACACCATGACTGTCTTAGTGTTCTGTTGCTGTGGAGAGACACCATGACTGTCTCAGTCAGTGTTCTACTGCTGTGAAGAGACACCATGACTGTCTCAGTCATTGTTCAGTTGCTGTGAAGAGACACCGTGACTGTCTCAGTCATTGTTCAATTGCTGTGAAGAGACACCATGACTGTCTCAGTCATTGTTCAGTTGCTGTGAAGAGACACCATGACTGTCTCAGTCATTGTTCAATTGCTGTGAAGAGACACTGGACTGTCTTAGTGTTCTGTTGCTGTGGAGAGACACCATGACTGTCTTAGTGTTCTGTTGCTGTGGAGAGACACCGTGACTGTCTTAGTGTTCTGTTGCTGTGGAGAGACACCATGACTGTCTTAGTGTTCTGTTGCTGTGGAGAGACACCGTGACTATCTTAGTGTTATATTGCTGTGGAGAGACACCATGACTGTCTTAGTGTTCTGTTGCTGTGGAGAGACACTATGACTGTCTCAGTCAGTGTTCTACTGCTGTGAAGAGACACCATGACTGTCTCAGTCATTGTTCAGTTGCTGTGAAGAGACACCGTGACTATCTCAGTCATTGTTCAATTGCTGTGAAGAGACACCGGACTGTCTTAGTGTTCTGTTGCTGTGGAGAGACACCATGACTGTCTTAGTGTTCTACTGCTGTGGAGAGACACCATGACTGTCTCAGTCATTGTTCAATTGCTGTGAAGAGACACCGTGACTATCTCAGTCATTGTTCAATTGCTGTGAAGAGACACTGGACTGTCTTAGTGTTCTGTTGCTGTGGAGAGACACCGTGACTGTCTCAGTCAGTGTTCTGTTGCTGTGGAGAGACACCATGACTGTCTTAGTGTTCTGTTGCTGTGGAGAGACACCATGACTGTCTTAGTGTTCTGTTGCTGTGAAGAGACACCATGACTGTCTCAGTCAGTGTTCTGTTGCTGGGGAGAGATACCATGACTGTCTTAGTGTTCTGTTGCTGTAGAGAGACACCATGACTGTCTCAGTCAATGTTCTGTTGCTGTGGAGAGACACCATGACTGTCTTAGTGTTCTGTTGCTGTAGAGAGACACCATGACTGTCTCAGTCAGTGTTCTGTTGCTGTGGAGAGACATCCTGACTGTCTTAGTGTTATGATGCTGTGGAGAGACACCATGACTGTCTTAGTGTTCTGTTGCTGTGGAAAGACACCGTGACTGTCTTAGTGTTCTGTTGCTGTGGAGAGACACCATGACTGTCTTAGTGTTCTGTTGCTGTGGAGAGACACCGTGACTATCTTAGTGTTATATTGCTGTGGAGAGACACCATGACTGTCTTAGTGTTCTGTTGCTGTGGAGAGACACTGTGACTGTCTCAGTCAGTGTTCTGTTGCTGTGGAGAGACACCATGACCGTCTCAGTCAGTGTTCTGTTGCTGTGAAAAGACCATGACCACAGTAAATCTTATAACAGAGAGCATTTAACTAGGGCCTTGCTTGCAGTCTTAGAGGGTTAGTCCATGATTATCATGGTGGGAAGCAGACAGGCATGGCACTAGCACAGTAGTTGAGAGCTTTACATCCTGATCTACAGGCAACAGACAGAGAGATTGGACCTGGTGTGGACTTTTGAAACCTTAAAGGCCCAGGTCTAGTGACATACCTCATCCAACAGGGCCACACCTCCTAATCCTTTCCAAGCAGTTCCTGTAACTGGAGGCCCAGCATTCAAACATATGAACCTATGGAGGGCATTCTCATTCACACCACCACAGATGATTAAGTGTTAACTGTCAGAATCATCTGGGAGTTGGGCTCATCTTATGTTAGCTGATGCAGAAAGACATATCCACTATGGGAAGCAGTATTTATTCCCTGAAGATGATCTTGGACTATATAAGTATAGAGAGGAGTCTGAGCATCCTTAAGTGTCTTAGTCACTATTCTGTTGCTGTGAAGAGACATCATGACATGGCAATTTTTATAAAAGAAAGCATTTCATTGTGGGCGGGCTTATAGTTTTAGAAGTATAGTCAATTATCATCATGGCTGGGAGCATGGCAGCACACAGGCAGACATGGTGCTGGAGAAATTGAGAAGAGAGCCACTGGGCCTGGCTTGGGCTTTTGAAAACTCAAAACTCTCCCCCAGTAACACACCTCCTCTGACAAGGTCACACTTCCTAATCCTTCTCAAGTAGTGCTACTCCCTGATGACTAAGATTCAAATATATGAACCTGGAGGGGGGGCATTTCTTTTTCTTTGGTTTGTTTATTTGTTTTCAAGACAGGGTTTCTCTGTGTAGTCCTGGCTGTGCTGGAACTCGCTCTGTAGACCAGGATGGCCTCGAACTTAAAGATCTGCCTACCTCTGCCTCTTGAGTGCTGGTATTAAAGATGTGTGCTACCACCACCCAGCTATCACCACGTCTTTACTATAGATGCAGTGTGACTAGGTGTCTGAAGTTCCTGCCACTGTTACTTCCTCCACGATGGTGGACTGTAACCTTGGACTGTGAGCTAAAATAAATCCTTTTCCCTTGAGTTATTTTTAAGTTATTTAAAGTCAGGGTGCTTTCTTTTCTTTTCTCTCTTTAGATGTATTTATTTTGTGTGAATGAATGTTTTACCTGCATATATGCCAGTGTACCATGTGCATGCCTAGTACCCAGAGAGGTTAGAGGAGGGGTCAAATCCCCTGGAACTGGAGTTACAGACAGTTGTGAGCCACCATGTTGTGAACATCCCATGCTGGGAACTGAACTGAACTGAGCCGTCTCTCCAGCCCTTGTGAGCGTATTTTATCACAGCAACAGAAAAGACAGTTAAGACACCCAATGAGGCCAGGCAGTGGTGGTGCAGCCTGGTCTACAGAGCCAGTTCCCGGACAGCCAGGGCTACACAGAGAACCCTGTCTTAAAAAAACCCAAAAAGCTGTGCAACGGTGGTACTCGCCTTTAATCCCAGCACTCAGGAGGCAGAGCCAGGCAGATCTTTGTGAGTTCGAGGCCAACCTGGTCTACAGAGCGAGATCCAGGAACGGCGCAAAGCTACACAGAGAAACGCTGTCTCAAAAAACCAAAAAAACCCACAAAAAACAAAAAACAAAAAAAACTATAACACTTACATCTAGAGTCTGTCAAGTTGGCTACACCAACCATCACAAATAGCAGTTTTTTAAAAATCAAACATTCTCACACACTCCATTCAGTAGATGTGCTGATTATACTTATATGCTGAGGAATGATGAAAGGAAAATAGTAATTATAGGAGTAACAAAGAATTCAGACAGGAGACACAGGCAGTTTAAGTGGAAGTTTATTTAGCAAAGAAAATTGAAGTATGTGATATATACAGAGAAATTGCTGCTCCCAAAGGCAGCACCAGCACAATGAGTTCTGTCTAGATTCATAAGTAGTTTTTATGAATATTTATGAGGTAGGTGGCTTATTCATAAGGTAAGATGACCTTTCCCCCTCTCAAGTCATGGTATGCTAGATCTCTCTTTTAGAGAATGCATTAGTCAGGGTTCTTTAGAGCAGTGGTTCTCAACCTATGTGTTGCAAACCCTTTGGGGGTCGAACGACCCTTTCACATGGGTCACATATCAGATATCCTGCATATCATATATTTATATTATGATTCATAATAGTATCAAAATTACAGTTATGAAGTAGCAACAAAAATAATTTGATGGTTGGGAGTCACCAGAACATGAGGAACTGTATTAAAGGGTCTCAGCATTAGGAAGGTTGAGAACCAGTGGTCTAGAGGAACATAGCTTAGAGAGACAGAGACAGAGTATACGTGCGTGTGTGTGTGTGTGTGTGTGTGTGTGTGTGTGTGTGTGTGTGTGTGTGTGTGTAGACCACTGGCTGTACTTCCAAAGGACTTGAGTTTGGTTCCCAGCACCCACAGTCATCTGTAATTACTGTAATGTAATCCCAGTGGATCTGATGCCCTTTTCTGGCCTCCATGAGCACCAGGCACACACATAGTGAACAGACATACATGCAGGCAAAACACTCATGCACATAAATAAAATACATAAATAAGTTCTTGAAAGTAATTATTGTCAATAAAGATTACATTTTAAAGTATTCTTATAAAGAGAATGTGAAAATAAAGCCTGATAGTCTTTTGATTAGCACATTTTCCTTTAATGTTATTACTTACAAGGGTTTGTTTAAACCTAACATTCTCCTTGTTTTCCTTTTATTTCATCTGCTCTTTGTTCACAACTTTATTTCTTCTTTTGCTTTGTTTATACACATCTCTAATTAACTATACATCATTTTCATAAATTCTTAAGTTTCTAAGGTAATACAGATTCATTACTTACTAAGTAACACTCTTTTTTTCCTGCCTCAGTGTCTCTTGTTTTCTCCAAATGAAGTTCTTTGGCGTTTAGTATGAATCCCCTGTTGTTGTACACTGTATTGATTTTATCATTACTGATCCATACATGTATGGTGAGTCCTTTCTCCAGCAACAGAGAGTTTCTCAGAAGTTAGGGACTTCCCATAAGAGAACTAAGCATGACGATTATTAGCATGCATTTTTAAGAATGTAAGGTGGTGGCCATAAGTGTTGCAGCTCTGAGGAGAAAGGCTTCCCCAGTGGACGTGTTACAGCTCTGAGGGGAAAGGCTTCCCCAGGGGAGGTGTTACAGCTCTGAGGAGAAAGGCTTCCCCAGTGGACGTGTTACAGCTCTGAGGAGAAAGGCTTCCCCAGTGGACATGTCACAGCTCTGAGGGGAAAGGTGTCCTGGCAGTTGGGAGCCAAGGAATAACACAAAGTCACACCACACAACAAACCTCACACAAGAGATTTATCGGGAGAGACACCAGAGGGTGGCCACTTCTGCTCGGGAGAGAAGTAGCAATTGAGCAGGAGGCAGGCTTTATAAAGGGTTTCTTGGCGGGGGTACGGACCTTTACAGGCTGGCCTGTGATTGATGGGATTTTGTGGGCTGATCTTGGAGCAAGCTCAGGGATTGGTGGGATTCTTTAGCCTGATCTTGGGCTTTTTTTTCTTCCTGTAGGGCAGAACTTGCATCTCCAAGGGCTGGAAAGTGAGGTTGTGGCCCTTTAGAGTAGTCTGGGGCGGGACCTGGCCATTTGTGCCTTGAAGGGCTTACAGTGGCCATAGCTCTAAGTCCAGCACTTGGGGGACTAAGGCAAAAAGGACCAAGAGTTCAAGGCTGGCTTGAGTTGTGTAGCTATATCCTGTCTATGGGAGGGAGGGGAGAAAGATAAAGATAGACACAATGATACACACAATCTTAGCACTTGGGAAGCTGAGGCAGAGGGTTGTGAATTCCAGACAGCCCTGAGCCACACACAAGACCCTGTCTCAGAAACAAAAAATAACAAAAAACCCATAATTCCTTTTCTCAAAGTATAGACAGTTTAACTAGTGCTAACTCTTTTCCGTTGTGTTGTATTGTTTTGTTGTTTGTTTGTTTGATTGGACAGGGTCTCACACTATAGCTTTGAGCTCACTATGCAGCCCAAGCTGGCCTGGAACTCGGAACGCCTTACATCTGCCTCCTGAGTGCTGGGTTTAGAGGACTGTGCCATCATGTCCAGCTTTAACTATTTAATCTAGGCCCATGTGAGGACTTGAACCAGAATATGTTTATGTCATTTCAGAATTTGGTGACATTTGGGGATGTGTCTGTAAATTTCACTCAAGAGGAATGGGAATGGCTGAATGATGCTCAGAGAGACTTGTACAGGAAGGTGACGTTGGAGAACTATAAGAGCCTGGTGTCGCTGGGTAAGGAGGTCTCTGCAGAATTCCAACTCTACACACGGGGCTGGGTTCTGTGAAATGTCTCTGAGATGCCTCTGAGTTGCTTTACTAAATTTCCCCTTTTTATTAAAAATTTTTAAAAATTACATATCTCTCTCTCTCTCTCTCTTTCTGTGTGTGTGTGTGTGTGTGTGTGTGTGTGTGTGTGTGTGTGTGTGTTCATGCTCATGCCATGGCACACGTATGGAAATCAGAGGACAGTTGGTTCTCCCCTTTCATCATGTGGGTCCTGGGGATAGAATGCCATTCCTCAGGAGGCTTGGCAGTAAGCGCCTTTTCCCAATTGAGCCACCTCATTGGGCCCCTTTAATTTTAAAATTTTATTGGTGTGTGTGTGTGTGTGTGTGTGTGTGTGTTGGGGAGTTGTGTGCACATGCCACAGAGTGCATGTGGAGGCCAGAAGACAACCTGTGGAGTCAGTTCTCTCCCTCCACCTTTACAGGGGTTCCATGAATGGAACTCAGATCATCAGGCTTTCATAGCAAGCCCTTTTCCCACTAAGCCATTTATTTTATTGGCCCAATTTCTCCTTCTTATGCCCATCATGTAATGGCACATGCCTGTAGTTCCAGTTCCAGAGGGCTGGTGTATTAGTCAGGGTTCTCTGGTTAAAAAAAAAAATATATATATATATATATATATATACATATATATATGTATATATATAATACTCATATATATATATTTTCACACATATAAACCACATATTTATATTATATATTACATATCATATAACATATAAAGGGGATTTATTAGAATAGCTTACAGGCTATGGTCCAGCTAGTCCAACAAAAGGTCCAAGAATCCATTAGTTGTTCAGTCCACAAGGCTGGATGTCTCAGCTGGTCTTCAGTATACACCAGAATTCCAAAGAAGTAGGCTCCAATGTCAGTGAAGCAATGGAGAGAGAGAGAGAGAGAGAGAGAGAGAGAGAGAGAGAGAGAGAGAGAGAGAGAGAAGAGAGAGAGAGCGAGCAAAAAGCGAGAGCTTCCTTCTTCCATGTCCTTTATATAGGCTGCCAGCAGAAGGTGTGGCCCACATTAAAGGTGGATCGTCCAACCTCAAAAGATCCAGATTAAAAATGGATCTTCCCACTTCAAATGCTCTAATTAAGGGGGGGAAAATCCCTCACAGGTGTACCCAGCCACTTGGGTTTTAGGTAATTCCAGATGTAGTCAAGTTAACAACCAAGAATAGCCATCCCAGCTGGGGAGGGAGGACTGGCTTGGGGAAACAGCCTGGCAAACCCAGTCTTAAAAGTTCAAAGAAAATTGCTTCCCCCACCTTTTTTCTTTTTCTTTCTTTTTTTTTTTTTCTTTTTTTCTTAAGACATGGTTTCTCTGTGTAGCTTTGGAGCCTGTCCTGTCCCCACCTTTTCTTATGCTCCTCAAATAATTTCTATTTTACAGAATTTGTCGCCTTTTTTAGACTGTCCCTTTGTGTCACTCACTCTCAAGAATACTCCCATCTCCCCCATCTCCTACCTGCAAGGCCTCACCTTCCTGATGAGCAGCGGACTGGATTTGATCCCCGACAGTGGCTAATTCCTCTTGTGTTTCTTGGAAGCAGGGATTCCTGTTTACAAGCCAGCTGTGATCTCATTACTGGAACAAGGAAAAGACCCCTGGATGGTGCAGAGGGAGGGAGCAAGAGACACAAGCCCTGGTGAGTGGGGCCAAGCTAGGGAGGTGGGTGCCCCTGTCGGGAAAGGCTCAGATGTCGGGAAAAGCCTAGCTCATCGTTAGCGCTTCTGGAGTAGTTTCTTTCTTTTCTTTTTTTGTTTTTTTTTCGAGACAGGGCTTCTCTGTGTAGTTTTGGTGGCTGTCCTGGAACTCGCTCTGTAGACCAGGCTGGCCTTGAACTCACAGAGATCCACCTGGCTCTGCCTCCCGAGTGCCGGGATTAAAGGTGTGTGCCACTGCCACCCGGCTGGAGTGGTTTCTTTCTTTCTTTCTTTTTTTTTTTTTTAAATATTTTATTATTTATTTATTTATTTATTTATTTATTTATTTATTTATTTATGTGTACGTGTGTGTTTGTCTGTATATGTGCATGTATCTAAGATTAGGGTCATCCCCTGAATCTGGAGTTATAAGCAGTTGTAAGCTGCCTGATGTGGGTGCTGGGAATTGAACTCGGGTCCACTGCAAGAACAATACATGTTCTTAACCACTGAGCCATCTCTCCAGCCCTGGAGTAGTTTCTTTTAAAGTATGTGGTCCATACAGAAGATGATCCATCAAGCTGAGCTGGTCTAGAGTGAGTGAGCTGCAGAGATACGTTGGAGCATCAAGTCAGGAGAAGCCTGGGAGCCAGGAGCTGTTGATGGACAGAGGGCTCCAGGCAGATTGCCTACCAGAGTGAGACTTCCCATTAGCCATTCCCACCATTAGCCATTCCCACCACAGGCCTCAAACCATCAGAAAACACAGATTCAGTAAAGTTCATAACAGTAGCAAAATTACAGTTATGAAGTACCAATGACAATAGTTTTGCTCCTTTTGTAAGACTTATTTTTATTTAACGTGTATGAGTGTTTTGTCTGGATAGTGCACCACACGCAATACCTGCATAGGCCAGAAGAGGGCGTCCGGTGCAGACCTAGTTAAACTGACGATATGGGAGCTGGGAACTGGACCTGGGCCTTTTCAAGAGCAGCCAGTACCAATCTCATTCTCTCTTATTGGGTGATCGATTGTCAAGGGCTGTGAAGTTCCCTTTGTGTATCTTCACCTGTCTCCTGTAGATTCTGATAGTTCATGGGTTTTGTTACTATTCCTTCCTATAGTTTTAAATTTCTCTTTCACTTGGGTATTTTAAAAGATAAATTTTCTTGTTCCTTTACATTTTGGTCAGATTGTTTTATTGGATTTGACCGGATAGTGGGTTTTTAATAAGATCAGATAGTGGGTTTTTATATTTTTTTTGGAGGAGGGGCTATTCTGAGACAGGGTTTCTCCATGTAGCCCTGGCTGCCCTGGAACTTGTTCTATAGACCAGGCTGGCCTGGAACTCAGAGATCTGTCTGCCTCTGCCTCCCGAGTGCTGGGATTAAACGAGAGCGCACCAATGCCCAGCTCTTCTTGTTTTCTTAATCAGTGATCCTTATAAAGGAACCTAATTTTGGCTTTACGTTTTCTGTTGATTCTATCTACTTTGTTATTTTCTCATGTAGCTTGTGTTTTTCCACTTCCTGTGGGTTTCTGCTGGTCTTTCTTGAGGTCGCCCCTCAAGGAGTTACTGTCTTTGTTTATTGTGTAATTATACGCATTTTAGAATTACAACTGTTCCTTAATACTCTGATAGTGAGTACATGCCAGACATAATTAGGTCTCTTAAATTTAATTCTTTTGAGGATAGAGAACATCTCTGTCTGATTTCAGTCAGTACTTTGAAATTTGTTGAAATGAAATTTCACCTGTCTCCTGTAGATTCTCATAGTTCATCACGAAAAGGCCTGACTTATTGAACACACTATGACTACTCATTGGATCAGTGTTGATCAATGTAGTTATATCAATATAAAGTAGAACACAGTAGTTAATTCTGCTGAGACCCACTATGCATTTACTAATTTTTGCCAAGATTTATCAGTTTCTAAGACCCTGCTTTTGGTAATGTTGGGACACTGAGATGTCTCATCGGATAAAGGCACTTACCTCCAAGCCTGATGACCTGAATTCGATCCTCAGGACACACATGGTGGAAAGAGAGAATCAGATCCCACAAACTGTCCTCTGACCACCACACAAATGTCAAAACATTCACTTATGTGCATACACTTAATAAATGTAGTTTTTAAAAGAGGTAATCTTATTTGGGTTTAATAAGGAAAAGCCAAATTAAAACCTGTACTAAATTAATAAAAGCAAGCAGTTTGATAGAAAATTATGTTTTCATGAAGACATTGTGGCTTCAGGAATCAACTGAAAAATTACATTTAGTTAAAACTTATTACAAAGAAAATTGTTTTCAGAAACACCTTCCTAGAATGCAAAAATTAACTTTAGCTGTCCTGGAACTCACTATGTAGACCAGGCTGGCCTCATCCTCACAGAGAACCACCTGCCTCTGCCCTACTAGTACTGAAGGTAAAGGTATGTGCCACTGTGCCCAGCTTAATCACCTTTCTTAATTTAGTAGTGAAGCTGCATTAAGAGATGTTAAATCCTTTAATTTCTTTTGTATTTTACTTTCTTTGTTTGAGCACTTTCTTTTCTTATAATGAATGAATTTTAAAATATCTATTTGCTTGGTATCCTTTAGATTGGGATTATGTCTTCAAAGGCATTGAACTTTCATCAAAGCGAGATATTTATGACGAATCGGCCAAAGTCCTACCCATGGGAAGAAGCCATCTTAGTTATAGCCTTGACTGTCCCAATTTGAAAGAAAACCATGAAAGTGAAGACTGGTTTAAGAACAGATTGGGAGGTCAGGAGGTGCATCCTAATCAATTGCTCATCATTCATAAAGAAATCTATGAAGATCAAAGTAATGGGTGTAATCCATCTTGGCAAACATTCCATCAGGATGCAATACTAGATATACCACAGAGTTTTTCTACCAAAGAAAGAACACATCAATGTGAGCCACAAAAGAGAAGTTACCGAAAAAAGTCTATGGAAATGAAACATAAGAAGGTCCATGTAGAGAAGAAAATTCTGAAATGTAATGAATGTGAAAAAGTCTTTAACCAGAGTTCATCCCTTACTCTCCACCAGAGAATTCATACTGGAGAGAAACCCTATGCATGTATTGAATGTGGGAAAGCCTTCAGCCAGAGCGCAAACCTAGCTCAACATAAGAGAATCCATACGGGGGAGAAACCTTATGAATGTAAAGAATGTAGGAAGGCCTTCAGCCAGAATGCACATCTTGCTCAACATCAAAGAGTCCATACTGGAGAGAAACCTTATCAGTGTAAAGAATGTAAAAAAGCCTTCAGCCAGATTGCACACTTGACTCAGCATCAAAGAATTCATACCGGAGAGAGACCTTTTGAATGTATTCAATGTGGAAAAGCCTTTAGTAATGGTTCATTTCTTGCTCAGCATCAGCGAATTCATACAGGAGAGAAACCTTACGTGTGTAATGTGTGTGGGAAAGCTTTTAGTCACCGTGGATACCTAATTGTACATCAAAGAATTCATACTGGAGAGAGACCCTATGAATGTAAAGAATGCAGGAAGTCTTTCAGCCAGTATGCACACTTGTCTCAACATCAGAGAGTCCATACTGGAGAAAAACCTTATGAATGTAAAGTATGTAGAAAAGCTTTTAGCCAGATTGCTTACCTCGATCAACATCAGAGGGTTCATACTGGAGAGAAACCTTACGAGTGTGCTGAATGTAGAAAGGCCTTCAGCAACAGTTCATCACTCGCTCAACATCAGAGAAGTCACACTGGAGAGAAACCCTACATGTGTAAGGAATGTAGGAAAACATTTAGCCAAAATGCAGGCCTTGCTCAACATCAAAGAATTCATACTGGAGAGAAACCTTATGAATGTAATATTTGTGGGAAAGCCTTTAGTTATAGTGGATCCCTTACTCTACATCAGAGAATTCATACTGGAGAGAGACCTTACGAATGTAAAGATTGCAGGAAATCCTTCAGGCAACGTGCACACCTTGCTCATCATGAGAAAGTACATATTATGGAGTCATTCTTGTCCCTTTCCTCTCCATCACCCTCTCCATCCAATCAGTTGCCGAGAGCTATAGGTTTGATCTCATAAATCTGACCCATTAGAACCATTTCTATTTCATCATCCTTGTCTTCTACATGGTAATCTGTTTTATGCGGAATACTGAAATAACTTTCCAGTGTATTCACCCATGCCTCTGTCAGTTTTTATACTTCAGCCAAACTTAGAAAAACACATTGTGGTCATATTATTTATCCTTCATTAATTAGGATTACTTACTGACATCCAAAAATTCACTGGGAAAAAGCACACAGTCCTTAGAGTAACCTAACAAGCTACCTTGTCCCCAGCACCTTGTTTCAAACTACCTTCTAAAGCCTTCATGTCAATATTCTCTCTCTGTCTCTCTCTCTGTCTCTCTGTCTCTGTCTGTCTGTCTGTCTGTCTCTCTCTCTCTCTCTCTCTCTCTCTCTCTCTCTCTCTCTCTCCCCCAGAATTAAAATAGATCTAGGCTCTAATCCTTGCTCTTCCTTTTTCTATCCCTAATTTTAGAGCATTTGGTCCTTTGTAACCTTCAGTCTTATTTATATTATGGGACTAATAATGGTTCTACCTCAAAAGCTATTGGGAGAAGTAAATAATGCATGTAAATTTCTTAGCAGAGTGCCTAGCATAAAATAATATTAATCTACAATAAAAATATGATGATACACAAAGAAGAGTTGGTCATTTTAATCATAAAGAAGCAAAAACACAGACCTGGGACATTATAACGTTTTGGTTTTAATTAGAAATACTGAAGTAGGAGACTGAAAACTGAGCTCAGTTTGTAAAGTGATTTCCTAACATGCACAATCCTAGGTTCAATCCCCAGTACCACATAAGATGGACATAAAAGTTCAAGGTTATTCTTGGCTACATAGCCAGTTCAAGTCCAGCCTGGGCTACATGAGACCCTATCTTAATACATATAACAAGTGGGTGCCATCTAATGCAGTTTGGGTTGACATTAGACTGATGATAGAGGGAAACATGTTAACTTCTATTTCATAGCATGAATATGTAAATATATGACTGGACAAGAAAAAAGATTTTTTTTTTTTTTTTTTTGGTTTTTCGAGACAGGGTTTCTCTGTGTAGCTTTGCGCCTGTCCTGGAACTCACTTGGTAGCCCAGGCTGGCCTTGAACTCACAGAGATCCTCCTGGCTCTGCCTCCCGAGTGCTGGGATTAAAGGCGTGCGCCACCACCGCCTGGCAAGAAAAAAGATTTCATTGTTCAAGTTCTATGACACCACACTTGCTTTTCTCTAAAAAAAAAAAAAAAAAAAAGAAAAAAAAAAAAAGAAAAAAAATCACTCCAAGGTAGAATTTACTGAGATATATCATTATATATATGTATAAACAAAAGAAAAACAGGTATTTAAAAAACAAGGTAGAAAATCTGATCAGTAATCAGTGAACTAGAGTACTTACCCAGTATGTACCACAGTTAAAGCCTTTAATACACATCTCCAGTTATTTTTTTAAAGAGATCGTGTGTGCGTGTGCATTTGTCTGTGTTTGTGTGTGTGTGTGCGCGTGTGCGTGCGCACACTCGCTTGTGCACACTCGCACAAGTGCCTGAGGAAGGCTCTGGATCCCCTGGAGCTGAAGAGCTGAAGTTACACCCGTTGATGAGCCACCTAATGTGGATGCTGTGCTCTTAACCAGAGTTCTCTCTCCAGCCCTACATCTCAGTTAATTCAAAAGAATTCAAGTGTTGTGAATGTTTTCTGGCCAGAATGGAATGACCTTAGAAACAATATATAACAGAAAGATAACTCGAATGTGCCCAAAATTTGAACCAAACTAGCACACTTTTCAGGAACTCAGTTCACAGAAGACATCATAAGAATGGACTAGGGGTTTGCAGAGATGGCTCAGCGGTTAAGAGCACTTGTTGCTCTTGCAGTGGACCTAGACTCAGTTCCCAGCACCCACATGGTGGCTCACTACCACCTGTAACTCCAGGTCCAGGGCTTCTGATGTCCTCTTAGAGGCTCCCTGGACGGTGCACAGACAGACATGCAGACAAAACACTCATAACATACGCATAACATACAAAAATCTCTCTTAAAGGAAAGAATGGGAACTACAGAAAGAACAGAAGGCTTGGAGTATATCTTGAGGACAGAGTACCAGCTTAGCATGTATGAGGGAAGCCCTACCTAGGTTTGATCCCCATCACCTGCCCCCTCACCAATTCTGAGTGAAAATCAAAACAAAAACTGATTCTTTGAGGATGTCCATAAAACTAATGAACTTTTTGTGTGCATAAGGAAAATGGAAAGAATATGTTACCAGTGTCTCGGATTATAACAGGTACTACAAGTCCCCTTGCTAAAAAGCATTGACTCTAGACTTAGTCTCACAAAACCACCATAAAAGGTGCCCAGAGGACCCCGGTTATTATCCTAAACCTGCAGTCACCTTGGATTCTAGGAACAAGGGTGCCAATCAGTATTTTTATAGGGCTCAGGAAATGGCTCAGCCAGGAAAATGCTTTCCATGCAAGCATGGGGACCTGAGTTGAGATTCCCAGCAATCACTCAAAAGCTTGGTACAGCAGTATGCCAGTCTATGACCACAGCACCACAAGAACAGAGACAGGCAGATCCTGTTGACTCATCAGTCTAAATTGATGAACTCTAAGATCAGTGAGAAACTCTCAAGTCATAAGGTGACCAACCATCAATGCGGCTCAGTCCATAACACCTCCTGCTGTATTAGCCTGATGACCCGGATTCAAGCCCCAGGACCGATGGGGAAGTGGTGGAAGAGAATCTACTTTCCAGGGTTGTCCTCTAACCTCCAGGTGTGCATCATGGCACATGTTTTCCTCACCTCATGCATACACGTAGACAGCAATCTTTAAAAAGTGGTGAGCAATTGGATCACTTGACATCAGCTTTCAGACAAATGTTCTCTCTGCTGCACACATACTTCCCGCACACATACATACATATGTGCTCACACACTTTTTTTTCTGACAAAGGATGAAAACCCATATGATGGTGAGATTGTACCCTGGACCAAGAATAATCTAACATGTTACCAAAGCTCTAGCTCTGGCTTCCTCTCAGCATCCTAGTCTATGTGATCTCTATAGGAAGAATTCAGACAAGACACACACAGCATTATGTAGATAACAGGTGTCTATTTAAAGGCAAAGTATAGGCTGGGTGTGGTGGCGCACGCCTTTAATCCCAGCACTCAGGAGGCAGAGGCAGGTGGATCTCTGTGAGTTCGAGGCCAGCCTGGTCCGCAAAGTGAGTTCCAGAACAGCTAGTACTGTTACACAGAGAAACCCTGTCTCAAAAAACAACAAACAAAAAAACCAAAATAAGGCAAAATACACCATTCTCAAAGGGGACCATTGTGGGGTGAAAGTGGACAGTTGCCACAGAAAGCTAGGCAGACATAATATCATTTCTATTGTCTCTAGAGCAGAAAATGTTCCCCAACAGCGTTTTTCCACATGGGTGATTGACAGGCCTATTGGATTAAGGCTGAAGGGAGCAAACAATGGTAAATCTCTGTTCCTTACCAGAAAGCCTTTCTGAGCAGTTCAAAACATCATGTCTTTACCTAAGGCCGGAGATTTGACTCCAATTGCACTGTTTTGACTGATAATCAGAGTCCTGCATTTGTGTTTCCTGGTTTTACAAGTTGCTGCTACTGAGGGATGGGTCCACACTCAACAACTTTAGGCCTGCTAATGCCTAACTAGCCACCTGATATTATGGGAACAACAATGCTTCCCTATAACGATACCTTCCTGGAATTACCCTGTAGAGCCATGTTGTATGATGGACTTTCTTGGGGAGATGCAACACACACACACACACACACACACACACACACACACACACACACACACACACACACACACACGTCTACTTATCCCAGAAAGGGAACCCACTACAGATCAAAGTAACGATTGCATCAAAGTCCAACTTGGTAAACCAATGAGGTTTTTTGGGTGTTTTTTTTACTTTGCTTCGTTTTTTAAATTTGTACTTTACATGTTTTGTCTAGATGTATGTCTAGTGCCTGAGGAAGGCAGAAGAGGGTGTCAGATTCCCTGAAACTTGAGTGATAGATGGTTTTGAACCACCACAAGGGTGCTGGGAATGTCTCTAGCCCCAAAATGAGTTTTGTGGGTTTGTTTTGTTCTGTTTTGTTTTTCCTGGAGACAGGGTTTCTCTATGTAGCTTTGGAGCCTGTCCTGGAACTTGCTCTGTAGCCCAGGCTGGCCTCGAACTCACAGAGATCTGCCTGCCTCTGCCTTCCAAGTGCTGGGATTAGACGGGTGTACCACCATCGCCCAGCACCAAATGAGTTTTTATTGGGGTTCCTAACAGGAGTATGGATGAGGGTGTACTTATAAGAGTAGGCATTACGGGGTTGGAGATTTAGCTCAGTGGTACAGTTCTTGCCTAGCAAGCGTAAGGCCCTGGGTTTGGTCCTCAGCTCAGGGGGTGGGGGTGGGGAGTAGGGATTACAGACATGGGTGCTACCATATGACTTTAACATAGGTTCAAGGGATCCAGCTGAGGTGGAGAGGATTTTGTGGAAAGTGTAGTTATCTCCCCAGCCTTCTTGTTTCTGTTTGTATGTGCATGGGTGTTTTGCCGGCATGTCTGTCTGTGCACCACATGCATGCCTAGTACCTTTGGAGGCCAGAAGAGGGCGTCAGAGCCCCTGGAACTGGAATTGCAACTATGAGCTGCTCTATGGGTACTGAGAACTGAAACTGGGTCCTTTGGAAGAGCACCAAGTGCTCTTAATCACCGAGCCATCTCTCCAGCCCCCTACTTTTTGTTGTTTTCTTTTGCTGACTAGGAACTATTTATTTAGGAGTCCAGACTAGTTTTGAACTCATAAAGATCCCCCCACTTCTGCTCCTGGGTTCTGGGATTCAAGGCATATACCACGCCTAGCCCTACTCTCAATGAACCTGGAGCTCACCTTTTCAACTACTCTGTCTGACCAGCAAGCCCCCGCCAGATCCACTTGTTTCCAACTCCCAGAATGGGGTTGCAGACATGTGCTACCATGCCTGACTCACATGGGTGGGGGAGATCTGAATTTAGGTTCTCATGCTTGTGTTTTGCATGTGTAACATGCATGTAGCTTGAAGGTGAGGTTGCTAAACACTATTTTTGGAAAAGGTATGTGGGTAGCTCAAGCCAAGTGGAGATCCTGGCTGCTAAGCCACCCCACTGCTTACCTGCTTCAGATCTATTTCTCCTTTTGCTTCTATGGCTCTTCACCTTCATTTAATTTGTACCTCTGTAAGTCAATGTATGTCCATTTAAGATTATGTGTTCTTGGAAACTGACCCCCCTTATTATAGCTTTTTTTTTCTATGCTAAGAATTGAACCCAGGGTCTCAGCACATTGCTATGCAATTACTCTATAAATTTTTATCCCTTATTCTTATTCCTTGTTTTAGTTTCAGTTTTTCAAGTTTATACCACCTATCACCTTGACACAACACACACACACACACACACACACACACACACACACACACACCCCATTTTACATTTAATTTCTGCATTTAAGTTGTCTTTCTGGTAGTTCAATTATATATATATATATATATATATATATATATATATATATATATATATATATATTTTTTTTTTTTTTTTTTTCGAGACAGGGTTTCTCTGTGTAGCTTTGTGCCTTTCCTGGATCTCACTCAACAGACCAGGCTGGCCTCGAACTCACAAAGATCTGCCTGCCTCTGCCTCCTGAGTGCTGGGATTAAAGGTGTGCGCCACCACCGCCCGGCTATATATTCTTTTTAAAGATTATATTTTATTATGTGTATTAAAATAACTTGCAGAAACCCACAGCTCCAGAGAGGCTAACAGGGAAAGACCCTAGGAGGGACACATGAATGACCCTGCGAAGGAGAAGTGGATCAGATCTACATGAGCAGACTGGGTGTGGGGGGTTGGCAAAGAGCGAGGAGTGGGGGATGAGAACATAGGGAAATGGGAGGGTCAAGCTGGAACAGGGACAGAGTGGGAGGGCAGGGAGGAAGATACCATGATAGATGAGGACACTATGGAAATAGGAAGAGGCAGGGTGCTGGGGAGGCTCTCAGGAATCCACAAGGATGACCTCACCTTGGTCTGCTGGCAGTGGTCCAGAGGGTGCCTGGACTGCTCTACTCTGGTGACCGGTCTAGTGAATAACCTAGCTGTCATCATAGAGCCTTTGTCCAGTGACTGATGGAGGCAGATGCAGAGATCCACGGCCAGGCACCAGGCTGAGCTCCGGGAACCCAATTGATGAGAGAGAGGAGAGATACTGCAGGTGAGGGACGTGGAGATCATGATGGGAAGATGTGCAGAGATGACTGGCCACACTAGTGGAAGCCCATGAACTGTGGACTGGTGGCTGTGGAGCCCCCATGGGACTGGACTAGGCCCTCTGGACACGGAAGAGAGTTGTTTGGCTCGAACTGTTTGGGGGGCACCCAGGCAGGGGGATCGGGATCCGTCCCTGGCGCATGGGCAGGTTTCTGGGAATTCAGGCCTGTGGTGTGACACCTTGCACAGCCTTGGTGCAATGGGAAGGGGCTTGAACCTGCCTAGGCTCAGTGTGCCAGGCTCTGCTGACTCCCCATGGGAGAACTTGATTTGGGGGATGTGGGGATGCGGGATGGCTTGAGAGAGAGGGCTGGGGGTGGGAGGAGGGAGGAGGGGGGATCTGTGGGTGGTATGTGGAGTGAGTAGAAAATTTCTTAATAAAGAAAAATGAAAAGAAAAATCCCCAATTTAAAGCATCCTAAAAAAAAAAAAATAACTTGCAGAAATTGGTTTTCCCCTTTCCGGGGATTGAACTCAGATTCATCAGGCTTGGAGCCTAGAGTCATTTGGAATCTCAGCTGAGGCACTGCCCAGATCAGACTGTGGGCATGTCTGTGGAGGACTGTCTTAACTGGAAACTGATGTCTGTGGGTAAGGCACCACCATTCTCTGTGCAAGATGTCCCGAGGTATACGAGGTAGCTAGCTAAGCATGAGCCTGAGGACCAGCCAGGAAACAGCATTCCTCCAGTTTCTGCCTTCTGAGTTCCTACCCTGACTTCTCAATGATGGACCATGCCATAGAAGTGTATGCCAAATAAAGTCATTCCTCCCGAGTTGCTTTTAGTCAGTGTTTTATCACAGCAAAGTGGAATACACATGCTCTACTCCCACTGAGCCACATCCCAGATGGCATCCTCTCAGGGATGTACCGCTGATCTGGAGCCAACCTTCCAGGCAGGTGAGAGAGGATAAAGCTTTGGGCAGGGGTGAGGGGAGTAGAAAGGGAAAGAGAAAAGCACACCTCTCCTTGATCCTCTTCTGTGCCATTCTTCACCCATTTGCCGCAGTGATTTTATTTTTGTTTACATAATGAAAATTTAACCTTTAAACAGCATGACAGCTGCTTTTACCTTGCCTGCAAGTTGGTTGTTTTCTTACTTGTATTAGAGCTTTTATTGCTGAGACAAAATACCAGAGGAAAACGAGGTTAAGATTTATTTTGGTTTTAGTCCATCATAGCAGGGTGAGCAGGGTAGGCAGGGCAGAGCTCTCATGTGGTAATCAGAAAAAAGAGGGGTAGAGAAGGTTCTTGTGAAAGCTCCCCAATATTAGCTTAAGATGCCATAGCAACATACAATAAATTGATTGACTTGAAAGGGGAGGAGGGAGGAGAAGTGGCTCAGTAGTTGAGAGCACTTGTCATTGCAAAGATTCAATTCTCAGCACCCACATGGTAACTCACAACCACAACTCCAGTTCCAGGGAATCTGATGCCCTCTTCTGTCCTCCAAGAGCACCAGGCACACGCATGGTGCACATATATACAGGCAGGCAAAACATTCATCCATACAAAATATTTTCAATTCTTTATTCTTCTCTCATATACCTCGGCTGCAGCTTCCTCTCCCTTCCCCTTCCACTTCTCTAAGTCCCTTCCCCCACCTCCCTCCCCCCCAGATCCACTGCTCCTCTATTTCTCTTCAGAAAGAGCAGGCCTCCCAGGGACAGCAACCAGAAACAGCAGAACAAGTTACAAGACTAGGCACAGACCCTCACATCAGGGCTGGACGAGGCGACCGAGCAGGAGGAAAAGGGTCTCAAGAGCAGGCAAGAGTCAGAGACACCCCCACTCCCACTGCTGGGATCCCTCAAAACCCCCAAGCTAAACAACCATAACATGTAGAGGACCTAGCACAGATTCATGCAGGCTCCAAGACTGCTGCCTCAGTCTCTGTGAGGTCCCTGTGTCCTGCTTAGTCGATTCTGTAGGCCATGTTCTCCTAGTGACCTCAACCACTCTGGCTCCTACAAGCCTCTCTCTCCCTCTTCTGCAGGGTTCCCTGAGCTCTGACTAATGTTTGGCTGTGAGTCTACATCTGCTACCATATATATTCATACACATAAAATAAAAATTTTAATTCTCAAAAAGATTGCTTTAAAGAAAGGATGGGACATGACACAGTACCCAAGGACACACCCACACCCCCATGATCTAGTTCCTCCAGCAAGGCCTCATCCAGAACCTCCTACCAGCTGGGGATTATAAGCCTATCGTTCACATTTCCTATTCAAACCCCAACATTTGTGGTTAAATTCATATCCCCATGATCAAACACTATAAACTTTTCTTAAGAAACTAGTTTTTTTAAATTTCTTAAGAAAATTTAAGTGTTCTCCTAAATAGCTTTTGCAGAAGGAAAACTCGTTCAAAAGAGCCTGATTATATACAACCTAGTCACACAAAAGAACTCGGACTTTATTTCTTATATAACTTACACAAGCTGGAAAGAGGGACAGAAAAACACATTGAATGGGTTGGACAGCTCAAAGGAAAACATCCAATACATTAACCTAGGAGTTCTTCCATGTATTAATCAGCTCGAGCTGCTATAACACAGTATCACAGACTGGTGACTTAAAGAGAAATTAGGTTCTCATAGTTCCTCCATAGGCTGGAAATCCAAGGTCAGGGCATCACACTGGTCAGGTTCTCATAAGGGCTTTTTCTTGCTTTGCAGATGACTGCCTGTGTTCTCACATGGTACAGAAAGAGATCAAGCCCTCTGGTGTCTCTGATCAATAAACTTATCAAAAAGGCCCATCCGCATCATGACTTCATTAATCTCATTTCCAAGTACCATCACACTGAGGGGTTAGGGCTTCAACATATGAGTTAGGGTGACACAAATATTCAGGCCATAAAAACACAAACACATAGTTACTTTTTGTACACCAATTAGCATTATTACATAAAAATGCTGTTTATTTATATAAATATAGACTCTTTTTTCAAATAAAAAAGTAAAAAATAGCTTCTCCCTGCTCAGAAGTTCCTCATTGTTCAGTATCTTCTTCCCACCCCACCCCAGCCTGTCTTAGTCACACAGATTTTCACAGTGTATCTTCACATCCATGGAGGCTGTGTGATATTGGCTACTGCTCTACACCACTGTCAATACTATCTTTAGCAACCTCTTCTTTGTTCTCACTCCAACACATTTCTGTCAGGAGAAAGAGGCACCCTGTTTATTGTTTTGCCTGCTAGGTCCTTACACACAGGAGTTCTAGTTCTGAGAACAGACTCAACACTCCATTTTCCTGGGACCTCAACTCAGGCTCAAAGCACCATCTAGAAAAAAAATGGACTTTGCAGTTCCATTTCCTTGTATGCATCCAGTGAATTATCCTTAAAAACTGCACTGGAAATAAAATGCGAACTGAAAAACACCTTCATTCACAACCCCTAATCCAATATCCTGAGCACACCTCAGCTGATTTCAGATCTTCAGTTCAAAATCCACCAGCTACTTTTGCTCTTTGGCTTTCAAAGGGAGGATATCATAAAATGGCCCCATAGACACAAAACACATTATAGGCAGATAGTTCCCTCCCTCCAATGAATGATTTCTGATTTAGGATTTTTCAGCATTACAGTGTACAGAAGCAATATCCATGAGGCTAGGAATTATGATCTTTCCCTAGGCTGACGATAAGCAGTAAGCAGTAAGATAACTCTCGAAATGCTGGGCAGCAGTATCAGGTCAGGTCATAGCCCTCAGGAAGCCATGCAATCAGGAGAGTGAACAACTGGGACTCCACATTATACTGTGCTGCTAAACGATCACATTTGGTAGGGTAGGGATATTAAATATATTTCTGTTTTAAATGTTTCAACCTATGGACATACATCATCATAAGTCAAGAACACTTACACACATTCTCCATGCCTCTGCACACTTCTTTGACACCCTTTTTAGCTTTTGCAGAGTTAGCAACAACTTCAGGATTTTTCCTCCGAGTGTGTGCTCTGATGTCGGATCAGAGATGAGCTCCGACTATATGCCTTACCACATTTGCTACATTCATACGGTTTCTCTGAAGAATGACTTCTCTGATGTCGTATAAGGTCCGAGCCACTACTAAACGCCTTCCCACATTCATTACATTCATAGGGTTTCTCCCCAGTATGACTTCTTTCATGTAGAATGAGGGATATGCGCTGAGTAAAGGATTTCTTACATATTTTGCATGCATAGGGCTTCTCTCCAGTGTGAATTCTTTCATGCTGTGCAAGGTGAGCACTCTGGCTGAAGGCTTTCCCACACTGATCACATTCATAAGGTCTATCTTCACTGTGAATTCGCTTATGTCGGGTAAGAGATATTCGGTGACTGAAGGCTTTCCCACATTCTTCACACTGATAGGGCTTTTCTCCAGTATGAATTCTTTGATGTTCAATAAGAAATGACTGGCGGCCAAAAACTTTACTACATTTATTGCATTTGAAAGGTTTCTCTTCTGAATGAATGTTCAGATGTACTTTAAGGTTTTTCATTCCACAAAACATCTTTCCACATTCCTTGCACTCAATGAGTTTCTTTTTTCTCTTATGAATTTTCTGGTGTTGAATAAGGGACGAATACCGATTGCACACTTTCTCACATTTATTGCACTTAAACTGCTTCTCCCCCTTATGAGTTCTTAGGTGCAGAATAAGGGTCGAAAGCCGTCTAAAGTCTTTCTGGCATTTATCACATTTGTAGGGTTTCCCTGAAGTGTGAATTCTCTGATGAAGCATTAAGGATAAGATCCTACTGAAGGACTTCCCACATTTCCTACATGTAAAAGGATTTTCTAAATGGTGAGTTCTCTGCTTGAGACCCTGACTTAAGGCCTTCTTAGTCTCATGAGTTTTCTTTCCAATACAATTTCTCTTATGCACAAGGAATGTCTTCTTTTTGAAGCCTCTGCCATATTTATTGTATTGTATTTTCTTTCTATTGTGAATTCTCTTATGAAGTAAAAGGGATGACATCCGGCTGAAGGCTTTCTCACATTTTCTGCACTGGTGGATACTCTCAACAATGTGATTATTAGAGTGTACACTGAAAGATGGGCATGAACCTGGGGCCTTCTCATGGTTCAAATTTTCCTTTCCATTGTGAGTTCTCCTATGTATCATCAGAGTTAATTTTTTATTAAAAATTTCCCCACATTTGTCACATTCATAGCTTTTCTTCCGATTGTGAATTCTCTGATGAAGAATGAGGGATAAGATCTGTCTGAAAACTTGTCTACAATTACTGCATCCATAAGACCTCTCTCCAGTGTGAAAGTCTTGATGAAGTTTAAAAGACAAACTTCGAGAAAAGGTTTTCCCACAATTATCACACTTTAAAGATTTCTTGCCTGAATGTCTTTTCTTGGGTTTTCTCCGGAGTGAACTCTTGTTACATTTTGTCCTCCCTGTGGTGACCTTTCCTTGTGAAGAAACTGGTTTCTGATGGATACTTTGCCCAGATTTGTTACACGGATTTGGTGGTAACTTCTTGGTCTCACACTTAGACCCTGATTCTGAAATACAGCAAGAAGTTAGAATTAGTTTTTCTGTGCTGAAGAAATGAAGCTTGTGTAATAAAAAAGGAGTCATTATAATCGGTGATTGTAACAACACAATGTTAACAAGAACAGTGTTCCCACTACTATACTAAGGTCTTTGTGGTAATTACTTTTGTTTGTTCTCGGAGACAGGGTTTCTCTGTGTGACAGCCTTCATTGTCCTGAAACTCACTTTGTAGACCAGGCTGGCCTCCAATTTTACAGATTTCTTTATTAATGATCTTCCTGCTTTGTGATGATTATTTTTAATCAACAGTGTGACACAATCCAGAATCCCTGGAGAAGGGCATCTGAGAGTATCTTACTCGTCTTTATTCACTGTGGGCAGCACCATTCCTGGGGCTCAGGGTTCCAGATGGAGTAGAAAGGAGAAAGCCGGCTGAGCAATGCATGCATTAGTGCACTGCTCAGCTCTTAACTGTGGATATAAAGTGGCGGGTTGCTTCAAGTTCCTGCTGCTTTAACTTTCCCTCAGTGATGGACTGTGACCTAGAATTGTGAACCAATAAATCCTTTTTCTCTTAAGATGCTTTTTTTCTAGGTATCTATTTAATCACAGCAACAAGAAACAAATGTAGGACAGGGCTTTCCAGAAATATTTAGTAACTGGAATTCAGGAAAGTTTGAAGTTTGAAAGAGAATAAATCATTTTTATATATGATATATGATATATTTTATATCATATACATTTAACTTTATAAACTTTTCACTAGTTAAACATATTTCACTACATGAAATGTTCATAAAAGGGAATATTTATACAAAAACGTTAAATGGTTACTTGGGATTAAAGGTGGAAATAGAAATTAACTGTAGATGGGTTAAGAGAGTTACCTGTGTGATGAAAATCGCCTAAAACTGGATTAAGGTGACATCAAACTTTGTAAATTTATGAAAAAAATGGATTATATTTTTAAACTGAGTGAATACCTCTATAAAATTATGAATCCTAAAAGCATATTCTTGAATGTCAAATTCTGAAAAGCACAAATATACTGACAGAGTTACTTGGAAAGGACACTCTCCAACCTGTTGAGCTGCCTGCAGGCTGTGTGGGATGCTCCAAGTTTCCTAGCTTTTGTGAGCTATCACTCATGCAGGGGTGGACCTTGGTGATGCAGCTGTCTCTGAGACATGTCTACTCCTGTAAATGACCCCTGACCACCTTCCTGTAAGTAACCCCAATAAAACTCATTGGTTCACCAAGTTGGACTTTGGTGTTATCCATACTTTGATCTGTCATGGGATCCCTATTTGGGGTGAGTAGATGTGTGTGCTGTGTCTCCCCAGGAAAAGTTTTGTCACACAACACACTCTGGGGTGGACTTTTGGTGATGGAGCTGTCTCTGAGTCATTTCTGCTCTCCTAGGTAACCTTTCACCCATATTCCTGCAAATAACCTCAATAAAACTCATTGGTTTATCAAGTTGGACTTTGGCGGTATCCTTGGTTGATCCGTCATTAGTTCCCTGTCTGGGGTGAGTGATGTTTATCTACCTCTCCCTGGAATATTGTTAGGTAACAGTGGGTGACACCATTCCATGGGGTGAGGTCCTGGGCTACACTAGATGAGCACAAGCATTCATAACTTCTTGGCTGTCGCTGCTGCTGCAAGCTGCTACGACTTCACCGTAATGAACTTTACCCTCAGCATGTAAACCAAAAGTGAACCCTTTTGTGGTTGTTTGAATGAGAATGACCCCCAAAGGTTCATCTATTTGAATGCTTAGTCACCAGTTCATGGCCTTGTTGGAGTTGGTGATGCCTTTTTAGAAGAAGTGTGTCACTGGACATGGATTCTGAGGTTTAAAGAACCCACACCAGGCTGTCTTTCTCTCTCTGCCTGATGCCGGCAGATCAGGATGGAAAATGCTCAGCTACTGCACCAGTTTAATGCCTGTTTGCTTTCTGCCATGATGATCAGGGACTAATCCTCTAAAACGGTAAGCAAGCCTCCAATTAAATGCTTTCTTTTATGCCGGGCTTAGTGGCACACACCATTAATCCTAGCACTCTGGAGGCAGAAGAAAGTGGATCTCTGAGTTCGAGGCCAGCCTGATATACATACAGAATGAGTTCCAAAACAGCCAGGGATACACAGAGATACCCTATCTCAAAAAACAAAAAACAAAAGAAAGAAAGAAAGAAAGAAAGAGAGAGAGAGAGAGAGAGAGAGAGAGAGGGAGGGAGGGAGGGAGGGAGGCTGGAAGGCAGGCAGGCAAGTTTTCTCTTATGAGTTGCCTTGCTCATGGTGTCTCTTCACAGCAATGGAACAGTGACTAAGAACCTTTCTCCTTAACTTGCTTTTGTCAGAGTATTTGACCACAACTGATGGAAAAGTAATCAAGACAGAAGACTAGCTATGCTATATTATAGTATTATATGTTATATTACAAATATATAATATATTTGTCAAAATATTAATGTGTTTGGTTTTGGAGTACCCATCCAGCCCTTGCTGGATGTACTACTCAACATACAGTCTAGGACCACTTTACCTTTCTCAAGTCTGGACAATTATGAATTGTGAAGCACATGCTACTCCATGAATGCTGGGGAACTTCTGTCATCCTGCAGCTGTTTAATATCTGGTAACAACTACCATAACTACAATTAGGAGAATAGTATACTAGAATTACATCCCGGTAAAATGAGGAGCTAAAGGAAGTAACAGAAAATTTCACCACAAAGCCAGCAAGATCAAATAAACAAGAAGTCTGGCTCCCCAAGGCTCAGAAAACATTGTGGCAAAGGGGGTGGAAAGAATGTTAAGAGTCAGGATGTGGAGGAGTGTGGTCATTACACTCAAGAATTCACTGTAGTTATGGCCACCTGCACAAGGTCAAGCCAACAAGATCAGTCAATATTCTAGCAGGGCAACACTAAAAAGGACTCAGTGGTTTCCAGTAGACAAAGCAAAAAGTGGAAGAAAGGAGGACATGCTAGGGAGAATCTGGGGATTGGGAAGGCCAGGTTGCAGGGAGACATACTTAATATATGCATGTATAAGATTCTCAAAGAATATACAAAAGAATTTTTTAAAGAATTGGGGACTGAAGCAGTCCCCAGCAACCGGTCATAGGTGAGAGACCTGCGGGCAGGCTGCACCAACACCCCCGACACCCGCTGCACTCTGTAACCTCTACAACCCACTCTGCTGCCTAAACCCACCGACCCACCCTCCTCCCCTTGGCCAACCATCCCCCACACCATGAGCAGCCCCTATACAAGTACCACCTACACCAGCTGGAAGAATATCAGATCCTTCAGGCAGAGGGGACACCCATACCAGCTGGAAGAACAGCAGCCCCGATAGGCACCAGCACCATCGACACCAGACAGAAGAACAGTCTCCGTGGCACAGGCACAACCCACACCAGTAGGAAGAACAGACTCCATAAGCACAAGTAAAGACCACACAAGTCAGAAGAACTGGAGAATACGCTGCATTTAGATAGCCAAATGCCCACAAACCTCAGCTGAGACAAGCCTACTGGATCTGAGGACCAGACAACCACCAGAACCCTTGGCCATTTAGGACAAAAAGACAATAAAGGAACAAAAGACCCATCCAACAAAGACATCACAAGAAACAATACCTGCACCTATAACTATCCCAAACCTAGATGGGTAAAGGGCAGTGTAAGAATACATGCAACAACATAAAGGGCAATATGTTACCACCAGATCCCAGTGGTCCTACAACAGCAAGATCTGAACATCCCAATGCAGATGAAACAGAAGAAAATGAACTTAAACTAACTTTAGAAGCCCTGAAAGAGGAAATGAAAAATTCACTTAAAGAAATCGAGGAAAAGACAAACAAAAACTTGGAAAAAATCAATAAATCTCATAAAGACAGACAAGATAACCAAGAAAAAGCAGGTGAAGGAAACAGTTCAAGACTTGAAAACTGAGAGGCAATAAAGAAAACACAAGCTGAGGGAAATCTGGAAATGAAAAATCTGAGTAAATGAACAGAAACTACAGATGCAAGCATAACCAACAAAATACAAGATATGGAAAAGAGAGTCTTAGATGTTGAAGATATGATAGAGGAAATAGATTCATCAGTCAAAGAAAATGTTAAATCCAACAAATTCCTAACACAAAACATCCAGGAAATCTGGGACACCATGAAAAGACCAAACCTAAGAATAATAGGGATAGAAGGAGAAGTATTCCAGCTCAAAGACACAGAAAATATATTCAACAAAATCATAGAAGAAAACTTTCCCAACCTAAAGAAGAATATGCCTATGAAGGGACAAGAAGCTTATAGAATACCAAATATACTGGAATCCCAAGAGTCCCCTTGTAACATAATAATCAAACCACTAAACATACAGAATAAAGAAAGAATATTAAGAGCTGCAAAGGAAAAAGGCCAAGTAACATATAAAGGCAGACCTATAAGAATTACACCTGACTTCTCAATGGAGACTCTGAAAGTCAGAAGGTCCTGGATATATATGTTTTGCAGACACTAAGAGACCATGGATGCCAGCTCAGACTACTCTACCAAGCAAAACTTTCAATCACTATAGACAGAGAAAACAAGATATTCCATGACAAAACCAGATTTAAACAGTACCTATCCACAAATCCAGCCCTACAGAAAGTACTAGAAGAAAACCTCCAACATAAGGAAGTTAGCTGCACTCACGAAAACACAGGCAATAGATAATCTCACACCAGCAAAATCCAAAGAAGGGAAACACACACACTACCATCAAAAAATGACAGGAGTTAACAACCACTCATTATTAATATCTCTTAATATCAATTGACTAAATTTGCCTATAAAAAGACACAGGCTAACAGAACGAATATGAAAACAGGATCCATCCTTCTGCTGCATACAAGGAACACACCTCAACTTCAAAGACAGGCACTACCTCAGAGAAAAGGGCTGGGAAAAGTCTTTCCAATTAAAGGAACCTAAGAAGCAAGCTGGTGTAGCTATCCTAATATCTAATAAAATAGACTTCAAACTAAAATCAATCAAAAGAGATAGGGAAGGACATTACATATTTATCACAGGGAAAATCCACCAAGATGAAGTCTCAATTCTGAACATTTATGCTCAAAATACAAGGGCACAACATTTGTAAAAGAAACATTACTAAAGCTTAAATCACACATCAAACCCCACACACTAATAGTGGGAAACTTCAACACCCCACTCTCACCATTGGATAGGTCTGCCAGACTGAAACTTAACAGAGAAACAAGAGAGCTAACAGATGTTATGACTCAAATGGACTGAACAGACATCTATAGAATATTTCACCCAAACACAAAAGAATATACCTTCTTCTCAAAACCTCATGGAACCTTCTCTAAAACTGACCACATACTCGGTCACAAAGCAAATCTCAACAGATACAAAAGAATCAGAATTATCTCATGTATCTTATCGGATCACCATGGGATACAGTTAGGATTCAACAACACAAACTACAGAAAACCTATAAACACATGGAAACTGAACAACACTCAGTTGAATCACCACTGGGTCAAGGAAGAAATAAAGAAATTAAAGACCTCCTAGAATTCAATGAAAATGAATGTACAACATACCCAAACTTATGGGACACAATGAAAGCAGTGCTAAGAAGAAAATTCATAGCACTAAGTATCTACATAAAGAATGTGGAGAAATCTCACACTAGTGACTTAACAGCACACCTGAAAGCTCTAGAACAAAAAGAAGTAAACTCACCCAGGAGGAAGAGAAGCCAGGAAATTATGAAACTCAGGGCTGAAATCAATAAAATAGAAACAAAGTGAACAATACAAAGAATCAATAAACAGAGTTGATCCATTGAGAAAATCAACAAAATAGACAAATCCTTACCCAAACCAACCAAAAGGAAGAAAGAGAACATGGAAATTAACAAAAACAGAAATGAAAAGGGATGCATAACAACTGACAACGAGGAAATCAGAGAATCATCAGGCCATACTTCAAAAACCCCTACTCCACAAAACTGGAAAACCTAAAAGAAATGGACAATTTTCTCAATAGGTGCCATATACCAAAATTAAATCAAGACCAAATAAACAATTTAAATAAACTTATTACCCCTAAGAGGCAGTCATTAAAAGTCTTCCAACCAAAAAAAGAAAAAAGAAAAAAAGCCCAGGACCACATGGTTTCAGCACAGAAGTCTATCAGAATTTCAAAGAAGAGCTAATACCAATACTCTTCAAATTGTTCCATACAGTAGAAACAGAAGGAACATTGCCAAATTCTTTTTATGAGGCTAACAGTTACCCTCATACCCAAACCACACAAAGATGCAACAAAGAAAGAGAAATTACAGACCAATCTCTCTCATGAACATTGATGCAAAAATACTCAGTAAAATACTGGCAAAACAAATTCAAGAACACATTAAAAAAAATCATCCACCATGATCAAGTAGGCCCCATTCCAGAGATGCAAGGATGGTTCAACATACAAAATCTGTCAATGTAATTCACATACAGAAAAAAAAAAAAAAAACCCCAAAAACCAAAACCACATGATCATCTCATTAGATGCTGAAAAAGTCTTTGACAAAATCGGACACTCTTGCTGGGTGGTGGTGGTGCACACCTTTAATCCCAGCACTCAGGAGGCAGAAGCAAGCAGATCTCTGTTAGTTCGAGGCCAGCCTGGTCTACAAAGCGAGTTCCAGGACAGACTCCAAAGCTATACAGAGAAACCCTGTCTCGAAAAACCGAAAAAAAAAAAAAATCCATCACTCTTTCATTATAAAAGTCTTGGAGAGATCAAGGATACAAGAAACATACCTAAACATAATAAAAGCAATATACACCAAGCCAACAGCCAACATCAAATTAAATGGAGAAAAACTCAAAGCAATTCCACTAAAGTCAGATAGAAGATAATAGATCTTCTCCAGATCTATTCAATATAGTATTTGAAGTTCTAGCTAGAGCAGTAAGAAAAAAAAAAGAGATTGAGGGGATACAAATTGGAAAGGAAAATGTCAAACTTCTGCTATTTGCAGATGATATAATAGTATACATAAGTGACCTCCAAAATTCTACCAGGGAACTCCTATAGCTGATAAACACCTTCAGTAATTTGGCAGGATATAAGATCAACTCAAAAAAAAAAAAAATCAGTAGCCCTCCCACATACAAATGGTAAAGGGGCTGAGAAAGAAATCAGAGAAACAACACCCTTTACAATAGTCACAAATAATATAAAATATCTTGGGGTAACTAAACAAACAAGTGAAAGACCCATATGACAAGAACTTTAAGTCTTTGAAGAAAGAAATTGAAGAAGATATCAGAAAATGGAAAGATCTCCACATTCAATAGATAGGATTAACATAGTAAAAATGGAAATCTTACCAAAAGCGATCTACAGATTCAATGCAATCTCCATTAAAATTCCAACACAATTCTTCACAGACCTTGAAAGAACAATACTCAACTTCATATGGAAAAACAAAGAACGCAGCATAGCCAAAACAATTCTGTACAATAAAGGAACTTCTGGAGGCATCACCATCCCTGACCTCAAGCTCTACTATCAAGCTATAGTAATAAATACAGCTTGTTAACAGCATAAAAACAGACAGGTGGATTAATGGAATCGAATCTAAGACCCTGACATTAATCCACACACCTATAACACCTGATTTTTGATGAAGAAGCCAAAATTGTACAATGGAAAAAAGAAAGCATCTTCAACAAATGGTGCTGGCATAACTGGATGTTGACATGTAGAAGAACGCAAATAGATCCATATCTGTCACTGTGCACAAAACTTAAGTCCAGGTGGATCAAAGACCTCAACATAAATCCAGTTACCCTGAACCTGAAAGAAGAGAAAGTGGGAAGTAGTCTTGAATGCATTGGCACAGGGAATTACTTCTTGAATAAAACACTAGTAGCACAGACTCTGAGAGCAAAATTAACAAATGGGACCTCCTGAAACTGAGAAGCTTTTGTAGGGCAAAGGACACGGTCAATAAGACAAAACAACAGCCTACAGAATGGGAAAAGATCTTCACCAACCTCACATCTGACAGAGGGCTGATCTCCAAAATATATGTAGAACTCAAGAAACTAGACAACAAAATACCAAATAATCCAATTAAAAAATGGAGTACAGATCTAAAGACAGAATTCTCAACAGAAGAATCTGAGAGACATTTAAGGAATTGCTCGACATCCTTAGTCATCAGGGAAATGCAAGTCAAAACGACTCTGAGATACCATCTTACACCTGTCAGAATGGCTAAGATGAAAAACACTGAGGACAGCTTATGTTGGAGAGGATGTGGAGCAAGGGGAACACTCCTCCACTGTTAGTGGGAGTGCAAACTTGTACACCACTTTGGAAATCAGTATGGTAGTTTCTCAGAAAATTGGGAGTCAACCTGCCTCAAGACCCAGCAATACTACTCTTGGGGATATACCCAAACGATGCCCAATCATACCACAAGGACACTTGCTTAACTATGTTTATAGCAGCATTATTCGTAATAGCCAGAACCTGGAAACAACCCAGATGCCTCTCAACTGAAGAATGGATAAGGAAAATATGGTACATTTACACAATGGAGTATTACACAGCGGTAAAAAGCAATGACATCATAAGATTTGCAGGCAAATGGGTGGAACTAGAAAAAAACCATTCAGAGTGAGGTAACCCAGACCCAGAAAGACAAACATGGAATGTACTCACTCATAAGTGGATAGTAGATACAAAGCAAAGGATAACCAGACTACAACTCACAGCTCTAGAGAAGCTAGATAACAAAGAGGGCTCAAAGAGGGATTCATAGATTTCCCCTGGTAAGGGGAAATAGAAGAGATCTCTTGGGTAAACTGCAAGTGGGGTAGAGGGGTGGGGGGGAGATAGAGGGATGGCAGCTTGAGGGAGCAGGTTGGAGGGGCTGGGTGTGGGAGGCAGGATGGAGGGGGAGAGTAATGAAAGAGAAGTCTTGATGAGGGGACCATTTTGGGGTTAGGAAGAAAGCTGGTGCCAGGGAAAGCCCCCAAAATCCACAAGGATAACCCCAGCTAAGACTCCTAGCAATAGTGGAGAGGGTGCCAGAACTGGCCATCTCCTGTAATCAAATTGGTGACGATCCTGAAATTGCCATCAGAGATACTCTATCCAGTAACTGATGGAAGCAGATGCAGAGTTCCATAGTCAAACACTGGGCTGAGCTCTAGGAGTCTTGCAGAAGAAAGGAAGGAGGGAATGTATGAGTCAGGGGGTTCATGATGGGGGCACCCAGATAGCTGACCTGAGCTCCTGGGAGCTCATGGACTCTGGACCAACATCTAGGGAGCCTGCATGGGACTGGACTAGGCCCTCTGTGTATGTGTGACAGTTGTGTAGCTTGGTCTGCTTGTGGGGCTCCTAGCAGTGGGATCAAGACCTGCCTGTCCCTGGTGCTTGAGTTGGTTTTTGGGAACCCATTCTCCATGCTGGATTGCCTCACCCAACCCTGATGCAGGGGGAGGAGCTTGGTCCTGCCTCAACTTGATGTGCCATGCTTTATTGACTCTTATGAGAGGCCTACCCCTTTCTGTATGGAGATAGAGGAGGGAGGGGGGAACATGACACTGTGTAAAATAAATGAAAAAAAAAATGGCCGTGCAGTGGTGGTGCACGCCTTTAGTCCCAGCACTTGGGAGCCAGAGGCAGGCACAATCTCTGTGATACCAGAGGCCGGCCTGGTCTACAGAGCAAGATCCAGAACCATCTGTAAAGCTACACAGAGAAACTAAAAAAAAAAAAAAAAAAAAAAAGACAAAAAAAAAAAAAAACGCCCAAGCAAACAAAAACAAATAAATAAAAACAAAAGACAAGAAAGAAAAAAAGTTATTTAAATAAATTTAAAACAAAACAAATTGTGAAAAAACAAATCTTGCTAATTAAAACTTCTTGACTTTCAAAAAAAAAAGGAGAAGAATTGGGGACTGGAGAGATGGCTCAGTAGTTAAGAGTGCATAATGCTGCAGAGGGCCCGAGTTCAGTGGCCAGCACCCATACTGGGTCATTTACAACGAACCACCTGTAACTCCAGCTCTAGGTGAATCTGATGCCTCTAGCCTCTTTTGGCACCTGTACTCATGTGCATGTATACACATATACATAATTAAAAACAGATAAAAAAGAAATTAAACTCTTAAAAAAGATTAATGGGATTTATCTTAGAATCCTTCCTGGCTCTGATGCCATTGGTTTTGTGTGTTGTGGTGTGTGTGTGTGTGTGTGTGTGTGTGTGTGTGTGTGTGTGTGTGTTCGTTGTGTAGGTACACACAGAGGTATTGGATCTCCTGAGCAGGAGTCAGAGGTGCAGAGAACCAAACCCAGCTCCACTGGAAGAGCAGTAGGCTCTCTTAACCACTAAGCCATCTCTACAGACACTTTCTTATTTTTTTCTTTGTACCTTCATTTACCAAGGACCTCTCCTTTTCTTGTTTTGAATATTAACACATTCCTTCAGTTCCTCTCCCTGTTTCCAAGAAGAAAGTCTAAACCACAGCACATGCTAAAGCTAATCCCAGTGATGCCACACAAGCCTGACCTGAGTTATAGCCTTAGAACCTACATAAAAGCAGGAGAGCAGGGCGGTGGTGGTGCATGCCTTTAATCCCAGCACTCAAGAGTCAGAGGCAGGCAGATTTCTGTGAGTTCAAGGTCAGTCTGGTCTACAGAGCAAGTTCCAGGACAGCCAGGGTCACATAGAGAAACCTTGTCTTAAAAAACAAAACAAAAGAAGTAGAAAGAATCATCTCCACAAGGTTGTCCTCTGAATTCCACAACATGCAATACAGCATGCAAGTGCCCACACACATACAACATACAATATACACAATAAATAAATATTGAAAACACTTTAAACTAAAACAATATGGCACATATTCAAAATTTTAGAATACAGATGAATGTCTTCACAACAACAAGAGAAATTACCAAGTAGAAGTCAATACCTTCCACCATTTGAAAATGCCTATGAGATGTCTCACCCCGTAAAGGCACTTGCTTCTAAGTCTGTTGACATTAGTTTGATTTCTGGGACCCACAGGATGGAAGGAAAAGAACCAACTTCCATAGATTATCATCTGACATTCACAAGGCATCCATGTGCTTATCCACCAACTGACCCACATACATGCACACACAAAGAAGTAAGAAAAAAAAAAAGCCAAAACCCTGGGATGGGGTCATGGCTCAGTGATTAAAACACTTGCTTTCTAATCTTAAGGAGCAAAATTTAGATTCCCAGAACTCAAGTAAATGATAGGTTGGCACAGAGGCCTGTCTGTAATTCCAGCCACAGGTTTGTAGACGGGGAGCCTTGGGGCAGGCTGGCTAGCAAGTCCAGCCATAATACTGCCGAGATCTAGGTTTGATTGAGAGACTCTGTGTCAATGGGTACGATGACTCCTGACACCAACCTCACGTCACCAAATGCACTTACACACATATGCCCACACACATGCAAACATGCACACATATATATGCACACATACACATGCATGCAGACATGTGCAGGCGCATGCACACACACAGACACACACACACACAGAAGAAACAAAAAATGGGAAAAAAGTTAAAAAAAAAAAACCACCAATTTTCCTATAACCTAAGAGAAAACAAGAAATAATAAAATAAAATTGACTAAAATAGGATTTTTTTTTTTTTTTTTTTTTTTTTTGAGACAGAGTCTCACTATGAACTCTGGCTGGCCTGGAACTCACCAGCCTAGTCTCAAACTCACAGAGATCTACCTGCCTCTGCCTCCTGAGTGCTGGGGTTATAGGTGTGCACCAATGCACCTGGCCTTGTAGGTCTCTATTTGGAGTCACAATGCAAACTGCCAGGGCTCCAATCCTCACCACTTGGTTCTTCCACAGACCTAAGCAAGGTATTTAAGCTCGGTTCTAATCCTCGTTTGTCATATTGGAATGACAAAGACTTCTACAAGTATTGGAAAGAATAAATGAGATAATGAATGTGCAGGCCTTGGCATAGAACCTGGACCCAGCAAGCGCTCCATAAACTGGTTGCCACAACTTTACTGAGAACATTTTTATTTTCTTGGGCACTGTCAGCTGAGCCCAGGCTTTGTATGCTCTAGGGAAGTGTTCGGCCACTGAGCTATCTCCAAGCCCTTCAGGGGTAAAAAAAAAGAATGACATGAGCTCTAGTGAAAATGAAAGCTGAACTGACATTAGGCCGCACTTCTGTAGATGGTGCTCATTTACTACATCTCCTTTGCTGGTCAGACTCAGGGCTCTGAGCGCTCACTGCAGTGATTCACAACCCCTCTGGGGGTCAAATGACCCTTTCACAGGGGCTACATGTTAGATATCCTGCCTATCAGATATTTACATTATGATCCATCACAGTAGCAAAATTACAGTTATGAAGTAGCAACAAAATAATTTTATGGTTGGGGGTCCCCACAACATGAAGAACTGCATTAAAGGGTCGCCGCGTCAGGAAGGTTGAGAACCGCTGCATCACACTAAAAGGGAAAAAACGAAACTGGCAAAGGGAACAAGTCAATAAGGTGAGACCGAGAGGAGCCGTGGCACAAGCTTTCTGGAGTTGTCTCCTGGTATCGTGCCATGGGTCGTGCTCGCTCCTTCAGCAACCAACTAAGACAGCAGGTGAGAAGTGCCGTCCCTAGAAAGGCTTCTGAAGTTGGTGCGGAGTTTCCTGGGAGCTGGCAACGTCACAACTCTGAAAAGCAACTCAGAGATATCTAGAGTATAACTCTCGAATCCCGCATCTCATTTCCATGACTAAAAACAACAGAAAGGAAAAAACAAAAACAAACTGCTTACACAAACGCACTGCTATTAATAAGAAATTAGAATCAAAATGGAAACGGGATACAATGTTACAAAAGCAAAACTCTACTAACTGTACATAAGAATGACGATTGATCGCTTTCACGGCAACTTAGTGATTGACATCTAGTGGTATCCTTAGTTGGCAACTTTGGCTTTTTCTAAACCTTACGTGATGTGGCTAAATTTCATCTGTGACTTAAAACAGCATTATGCTGTACAAAAATAAATATTTCTTCTTATGTTAAAAGATAGAAAATGAAGATGGGCCTTCCATTTTCATTGTGCCAACATCTTCTCTCAAACAAACAAACACAGTAGTAGCTGTCCCCATTTGCCCCGCCACCCCCCACCCCAAGCCCATGACTTCAGGGCTTAAATCCAATCAGAAAGTGGCTGGTTACCTTCCTAACACCACTGCATCAGTGGGCATACCTTCCTGGCAGGTTGGTATTGCTCTGGCTTCTTTGTGTTACATATCTCCCTGGGGTTTGGACATGAAGATGTTCCCCCAAAGGCTTGTGTACTGAACACTTTATCCTTAGCTGGTGGGTCTAATCACTAACAGGGGATAGACAATGAGGGCTCATCCACTTTCATTGGAAGATTAAGCCCTCGATGGATTCCTAATACACTGGCATTACTGAAAGGTGGTAGAAAGTAAGAAGTTAGACCTAGATGGAAGAAGTAGGTAACTGCATAACAGCCCTTCCTGGAACTCCCACTGTAGACCAGGCTGGCCTCAAACTCACAGAGATCTACCTGGATCTGCCTCCCGAGTGCTGGGATTAAAGGGGTGTACCAATTATGCCCAGCACGAGATGAAGATTTCTTAAGGAATAACAGAATCATTCAAATCCAAGCATTATCATAATGAGTGTTGGCATCAGAAGATCAGCTGATACCTCTTCTGATCACAAAAGAGAAAGTATAGACATGGGGTGTCAGAGGGAAGGAGGGCGAAGAGCTGAGCTTCAGGATGCAAAGGCAGACTGAGTTCCGTTCTGGATCTGTCAAGGATGGGACCTCTCTGGACGGCAGGGTCCCACTCATCTATGATGCAACAGTACTAATTCCACCCACTACAGCATTGCCGGGAGGAACCTGGACCTCGAAGCATACCTGACACCAAGGCTGACGACTGCCCACTATGAAGTGAGGTTTATTAGGAGGCAGGGTTTCGAGACCACAATCAGGCCTCGAGGCACGAAGCGTATTCGAGAACCAGACATCACTGGCGACCTTAAAGGGAAGAAGAGGCTTTACCTGGAGAGGAGTTTCTTTTAAAGTGAGAGTTAAGAGAGACGGGGGAAGAAGATGGGGGAGGGAGAAAGGAGGAGGGAGAGCACTCACACAATGAGAGTCTCCGAGACACGAGCCATGAAACGTAGGGCTGGGAGGAGGCCATAGGAGCCTCTTCAGAGAAGTCCCCAGAGCGGGCTTTAGAGAAGTCCTTCAAACACCGGAAATACATGACTTTTATAACATTTCAAGGAGTAGCAGAAAGGTTTACATCACATGATTTACATCATGTATCTAACCAAAAGCATGGAAGAGCCTGCTACTGGGTAAGACCATACTTTAGGAGCTGTAGAGACCAGAGCACAGACGGCTCCTTAACTCTCTGCCCGAGGAAGGGGTTGAGGCTGGGGCTGATTGTCATGGTAGGAGCTGGCCTCTTAAGAGTGACCACTGCCTTAAAGGGGCAGGCACTTGTTCTAACAATGATCCCATGGCTCTCAGGCAGAATGCCCACTTTTCTACTAGGAAATATGGTAAGGGCTCTTGGAATTCAATCAGGTTTTGGGGTTGAAGCCCTCAAGCTGGGATCAGTGTCCTTACCGTGTTCCCTCACCCCTCCTACTCTAGGACAATACCGTAAGAAGGCAACATCTATGAACCAGGAAGTGCACTGTCACCAGATACTTTATCTGCTACAGTCTTCCTCGTAGAATTACCAACTCCTAGGATTGTGTAAGATATATCTGTTGTTTACAGATAGCCATATGTAGGTACTGCTTCAGCACCTTTCTGCAGCTGGAATGATAAGACTCAGGCCTTGGTTCTCGGTCACTCACCAGGGCCCCGGCGCCGTCTGGATGGCTCCACCATCCATGGTGCTTTCCCTTTCTCCAACAAGGTGATGATATTTGGCCTCCGGCAGGCAAGACCTGCACATGGGACAAATAAGGGAAACCAGTCATTATGTGGGCACCACTGAAAACAGAGCCATGCCCTATGTCAATAAAATGTGGGTTTGTCATCACAACGGAAATACCCAGAATGTGAGGGGCAGCTGAAGAACAGGGGCAGGGTAGGGATGAGGTAGAGTAGATCTGGAGACTTCTATGGTCCTTCACATGCTCATGAGATAGCAAGTGCACAGGGGCTCCTCGGGAACCCAGAGAAATCAACAAATCAACAGCAATTAGAGCTCGGACCATCCCATCCCCCAACTTCACAAGAGGGCTAATCAGAAACTGGAGAAGGAACAGTCAAACCAACACAACGAAGCCTTTATAAGCTCAAAGGAGGGGTTCAGAGAGCATCGAGGTTGCGGAGCACACGGGGAGGAGCATTCCTGGAGAGGGTACGGCACAGCTCTGCACTCTCTCCCCCGGAATCTCTCCTGAGTCATCTTTTCACCTGCAGCCTCTAGAGTCTTTTATGTTGAACTAGTAAACTTAAGGATATACCTGAGTTCTATCAAACCTGGAGGGAGGGCGGTTTGTGGGAAGCCCCAATCTACAGTTAGTTGGAAGCTCCAGGGGTCTGGACTTGTTGAATAGTATTTGAGGTAGGGATAGTCTTGCGATCTGATACTGACCCAGGTAAGTAGTGTTAGAATTGTAATATCCGTCTGATATTCAAAGAACTGTTTGGTGTTGGGATGACCTCCACCCCTCTGGTGTCACACTATTTATTCTGTACTGAATGGTTAAATTGAGAGTTGGTATAAAATTTTTAGACAGAGAAGATGAAAACTAAGTTATATAGAGTAGTGCTGTGTAATCTAACTGTGGTGGTTTAAATGAAAACAGCCCCCCTAGGCCCATAGGGAATGGCACTTAGGTGTGGCCTTGTTGGAGGAAGTGTGCCACTGGGGGCGGGGCTTTGAGGTTTCAGATGCTCAAGTCAGGCCCAGCATCACCCTCTCTTCCTGCTGCCTGCCAATCCAGATGTAGAACTCTCAACTACCTCTCCAGCACCATGTCTGTCTTCATGCCGCCATGCTTCCTGCCATGATGACAATGGACTAAACCTCTGAACTGGAAGGCAGCCCCAATGAAATGCTTTTCTTTCTAAGAGTTGCTGTGGTCATGGTGTCTCCTCACAGCAATAGAAACCCTGACTAAGACACTAACCCTATAAATTACTTTTCTGAACATAGGGCCAAGTGCTCTTGGGACAAGATCTGAAACTATCATCTTTCAGCTCTAAATCGCCATCATTCTGTGACTCACTGCTATGTTGTGCCTCCATTCAAGGTTCTGAGGCCAAAAGTGTACATGTATTAAATAAAAAGCAAGTAATGTATAGTTATATACAATAATTTCTATACATTAAAATAACTAAATGTTTTACACACACACACACACACACACACACACACACACACACACACAAATAACTTAACAACAGCAACTTGGACCCATTAAGGATTTAAAAAGTGAAGGAGGGGTTGGGGATTTAGCTCAGTGGTAGAACGCTTGCCTAGCAAGTGCAAGGCCCTGGGTTCAGTCCTTAGCTCTGGAAAAAAGAAAGAAAAAAAAAAAAGACAAAATAACAATAAAAAGTGAAGGAACTGGACCTTACATGGCCTCAAGCTCTGCAATCTAAATGTCCCCTTGGCCAGCTTTGCCAATCAGAGTTTGTGGTAGTTTGAATAAAAATGGCCCCCATAGGCCCATAGGGAGTGGCACTACCAGGAGGTGTGGACTTGTTGGGGGAAGTGTGTTGTTAGGGGGTTAGGCTTTGAAGTTTCAGAAGCTCAATCCAGACTAGTGGCTTGCTCTTTCTTCCTGCTGCCTGCAGATCCAGATATACAACTCTCAGCTCCCTTTCCAACACCATGTCTGCCTGCGCACGGCCATATCCCGCCATGATGATAATGGACTAAACCTCTGAAATCATGAGCCAGGCCCAATTAAATGTTTTCCTTTATAGGAACTGCTGTAGCCATGGTGTCTCTTCACAGCAATAGAAACCCTAACTAAGACAGGGGTCTATTTCAATTTCTAGTTTTCTTTTCACCCCCATTCATAGACTTAGTTTCATATAAACAAACCATACAGCACACGCCCCTTGCCTTTCAGAAATATGAGTCCTAGCTTTATGGGCTCGTCCTCTTAGTCCTTAAAACCCCCCAGACTCTTCCTTTCCCCCACAGCCTTAGCGATGGTAGCTACATCCTTCTTACCATCTGTATTAAATCAGTGTCTCTGCTCACCTTAAACACCCATCAACTCCTTACAGTAAATTCTTTCAAAAGAACAATAAAAGAAAATTATGTACAGGGGGCTGAAGAGATGGCTCAGAGGTTAAGAGCAATGGTTGTTCTCACAGAGGACCTGAGTCTGGTTCTCAGGACCCACATGGTGATTCAGAACTGCCTGTGACTCCAGTTCTAGGTGAGCTGATGCCTTCTTCTAGCCTCCTTGGGCATCAGGCATGCACATGGTGCACATACATACATACAGGCAAAACACTTATACATATAAAATAAAATACATGAATTATATAAAAAAGTACAGTTTACAAATGACCCACAATTCCATTTATAAAATATATAACCAAGAAAATAAAAACATATGTCCCAAAACCTGTCCATGAAGCTGGGCAGTGGTAACACACACTTTTAATTCCAGCACTTGGGAGGCAGAGATGGGTGAATCTCTGTGAGTTCGAGGCCAGCCTGGTCTACAGAGCGAGTTCCAGGACAGCCAGGGCTGTTACATGGAGAAACTTTGTCTCGGAAAACAAACAAACAAACAAACAAACAAAAACCTGTTCATGACTGCTTACTGCAGCCATTCATTAGGAGTAGAACAACCCAAATACCCACAGGTTAATGAAACATAAATAAGATGAAGTAGTCTAGCCAGACAATGTAAATATTCAATAATGAATCAGAACAAAGTACTGATACGTGCTGCAATGGGGGTGAACCTCAAAACATTATATTAAGAGAGAAAAAGCCATGTATTTATGATTCCATTTGCACACAAGGCTCAGACTAGCAACTCCAAGGAGACAGAACAAGGGCTAGGGATTACCCACTCAAGGGATACACAGGCATGGGAAATGAATTACTCTTGACTACAGGGTGTCTTTGGAAAATGTCCTAAAATTGATCATGGTAACTGATGTCTCTAATACTGTGATTACAGTAAAAACCAACTGACTGTGCAATTTATTTATTTATTTTAAAAGATTTATTTATTTATTTATGTATTATGTATAGTGTCCTGCCTGCATGTCAGAAGAGGGCGCCAGATCTCACTATAGATGGTGGTGAACTACCATTTGGTTGCTGGGAATTGAACCTCTGGAAGAGCAGCCAGTGCTCTTAACTTCTGAGCCATCTCTCCAGCCCCCTGACTGTGTAATTTAGAAGTATAGACATACAGCCATTAAAAAACAAAAAACAAAAACAAAAAAAACCACACAACTTAAGTAACACCTCCCCCCGACACCCCCCAACACCCCCCAACTGACACATGCCTTCACCGGCTGGTTGTGGATTACTGACAGGGTGAGGGAAGGGAGCATGATACCTTACCAAGCAAGACCAGATTCTGATAGTTCTCCAACATGACATCTTGGTACAAATCCTTCTGAATGGGACTCAGCCATTCCCACTCCTCCTGTGAGAAGTAGATGGCTAAGTCCCCGAAAGTCACTGGTGCCTGAAATGAAAAAAGTGACAAGTCTATCAACCATGAGCTTCAAAAATCCCTTCTGCCTGGTAGAGAAAATGGCAAATAGGTGAGATATGTCATAACAGGAGTTCTGAGACCAAAGAAGCAGAGATATTAAATAAATTTAATAGCATGCAATATCACATAGTAAATCTGTTATTAAAGATTATGCTGCATTAAAAAACAGAGTAATTTGGTCTGATTTTTATAGTCAAGGCATTTTTTTTTCTAAGTATCTAACTATACAGGTTCACCCAGTATTCACCCTTCCTAGTAGTAAGGCATTGCCAAGGGAATCATAGTAATGCTGCAAATGAGGGAACAAAGACCTAGAGAGGTAAGGTAAAGTATTGCAGTTCACACAATTACTGAATCAAGGAGCTGGGATTCAATGGGACAGTCTGGCTCCTTCAAAATTGAAAAAAAAAAGTTCTTCAATCAGGTTATCACTGGTTCATCACAACATAGGAAGATGCTGTGCGAGCGTGCCCGGGGAATTGTATGTACATGCTCATTTGGGTGTGTGCATGTGTGAGGGTGCACATAAGCTGATGTACATGGAGAACAGAGGTCGACGATGAGTATCTTCCTCACCTGCTCTCCACCTTGCTTTTTAAGACAGGGCCTCTCCCTGAACCTGGAGCTCACCAATTCCAACACTGTTCAGACAGCGAGCCCCCTCTCTCTGCCTCCTCAGCTGTGGGATTACAGATGCATGCTGTTGAATCTGGCCTTTATTTTTTTCTAACTTTTTTTTTTTTTAACACATTATTTATGTGTGCACTCGGGGAGGTAGGGGTGTGCTGTGGTACAGAGGTGGATGTCAGAGGACAACTTGGAGGACAAGTTGGTTCTCTCCTTCCACAGTGAGGGTCCTGGGAATCAACCTCAGGTAGTCAGGTTTGGTGGCTGGTGCCTTTACCTGCTGAGCCACCTTGCTGGCCAGCACCTTGCTTTTTACAATATGGATCCTGACTTGGGTCCTCCTGACGGAATGGCAAGCACTGTGCTGCCACCTTCCTTTGCTCCAGGAAAACTCACACAGAGTACCTAGGTCTTGCTCTGGGTTGCCTGACTACTGCTCCCATGAATATGGAGGAGCAGGGAGAAGGTGCAAAATGTAAAAATGAACTGAATTTTGTTAATGACAAACACACCTGGAAGAGAACCGAAGCCCCTAGTGAAAATACAGTTAGTTAACAATTTGATTTTGGTCCTGGGAAACCCAAGCGGAAGACCCCAGCTAAACCATGTTGTGGCTGAATCCTGACCAGGTCAGAAATGACAGGGAATGTATGCTGATGTAAAGTTATTGGGGCAGCAAGAGGGAGCAAACACACGTAACCGAGGGAAATGTGTTTTGTTAGCTTGACGCAGGGCCTCATGTATCCAAGGCTAGCCTGGATTCACCATGTGGCCAAAGATGACCTTGAACTCTCCATCTTCCTGTCTCTATCTCCTAAGTACTGAGGTTATAGGCATGCTCCACCACACTCCATTTATGGGGGTGAGGGAGATCAATCTTAGGCAAGCAATCTACCAACTGAGCAACATCCCCAGACTAAGGATGTGGTTTTTTTTTTGCGGGGGGGGGGGGGGGGGGGTGTTGTTTGTTTGTTTGTTTGTTTGTTGTCTGGTTTGGTTTTTCAAGACAAGGTTTCTCTGTGTAGCCCTGGCTATCCTGGAACTCACTCTGCCTCCCGAGAGGTGGGATTAAAGGCGTGCGCCACCACTGGCGGGCTGGAAATGATGAGAAACTGCCCTTGAGTTGATGGATACTCATCTGATCATCTCCAGTGGAGAAGCAGGTGAGTCATAAGGCTTGTGCACCTCGCTTTTCCGTTTCCAAATTATACTCCTCATTCTTGTACCTTAACCAGGCAAACTTCTCCCACGTGAGGATTGTTTTTAAATGGAAAACACAAAGTGATAAAACTGGACTGCTCTGACACGTACACACCTAACCACTTCGGCTGAGTGGGTCCCGCCTGGGTACTCACCCCCAGCCAGAGAAACTACAGAGCTCTCATATTTTTTCTGGGGAGGGTATTTCTGAGTCCTGCAGAGCCCCTACAGATGCCGAATGGACCGTCAACAGTCATGTGAACACTGAGAGGCATGGAAACGGGACCTGAAGCAGCTTTCTGGGTACTGGTACTTTCTCAGATCCCATCTCCATAGAAATGGGAGGACCACCAGATGTCACATCCATCTCCTACAGGCAGGAGGCCTCCAGAAAGAAAACAAATGGGCCACATCTTATGAGACAGAATGGAGTACTTGGGGAGGGGGGTCACCACTTACCCTGGATTTTGATTTCCCTCGTGCTACAGGCATCCTTTCCCCCCGACTTTGATGGTCCACATTCAGAGGATGAGGCAGAGTGCTGGCAGACGAGAGAGATCATGAATCTCAATGGCCTTTGGAGTAGTCTCCAGTCCCCAATCACCTCTCCAAAGGCCAAGGCACCTGGAATAAGTGCGACCGTGCGTCCGTCTGTGTGTGTGTGTGTGTGTGTGTGTGTGTGTGTGTGTGTGTGTGTCCGCTCTTAAGAGTTGGGAAGAGGCAAGGAGGAAATCACATAGCACGCTCCTGCTCAGGACACAGATGAAGAATGTACAGACACCCACCCTCCATCTGACTGGTGACTGCTGGTGCCAGGCACTGCAGTGGGAGTTAAACCAGGAAGGTACCTGCTCCTCTGTCCCATTTGTTCAACAGGGAAAACAAGTCGACATGGCACAGAGTAACTTAGGGTCAAGAGCAGGGATTCAGACTGTTTTGTTCACTGCCCTATTCCCAGAGCTGCCACACCCAGAGAAGCTGCACAGGCTTTCTCTGGGTAGCCCTGGCTGTCCTGGAACTCACTTTGTAGACCAGGGTGGCCTTCAACTAAGAGATCTGCCTGCCTCTGCCTCCCCTCCTGAGTGCTGGGGTTAAAGGCATGCGCCACCACTGTCTGGCCTTTTTTTTAATGGCTTTTTTAAAATGTGGCTACTGGAATGTTTTAAATGTATATGCCTCTTATGTTTTCAGACAGTGCTCCATATATTAAAGAATATACAATATTGCATTGTTCTTTTTTATTCAGAGTACTTAAGATCTCCTTATCTATATAATTACTTATTTTGCAGTGCTGCATATTGAAACTAGAGTCTTATGCATGCTAAGCAAGTGCTCTAGCACTAAACTCTACCCACTGCTTACACTTTTAATTAGTTACTACCACAAACACACACACAAGTGCATGCTTGATTTAGGATCAAGAGCAGGGATCTTGACTGGGATGGGAATGCAGCTCAGTAGGGTGAGTGCTTGCCTAGCATGCAGGAAATTGTTTCTAGCACTGCATAAACTGGGTGTGGTGCCACATTCCCAGGACTGGAAGGTAGAGGCAAAGGATCAGGAATCCACGGTCTCCCGGGCTACACACCAAGTTAAGAAGCCAGCCTGGGATTCATGAGACCCTGTCTCAAAAACCAACCAACCAAACAAAAACAGGGGCAGAGACTCCATAACCACTCACTAACCCATCCTGAATATGCTTGTGTGTGCTGACCGACGTGGAACTCCATTCTCCTATGCTGAAATGACATTGCAGAGAAGGTCACTGGGCTAGCAATCATTCCACAGCCCTCTAAAATTTGTCCCTTCCAAGAGAGCAGAAACAGGGACAAACTATTGAGAAAACACGGACTCTAGTGAAAAAGAAAATAGTGTAACAAGTGACTGAGCGCTCTTTACCAAACAGTAACATTTTCCTACATATTAAAAAAAAAGTGGAATCACTTAGAAGTGAGTTTAGATCTGAAGACAGTTGACCCCTGAATACCCTCAGAGAATGCCATCCCCACACCCTGATGCTTTAACAGCAGATCTGTACATAGCTCTTTCTGTGATGTGTCGATGGAAGATACAGAAAGCTGAAAATGGAAGTATGAACATCTCCCTCTACAAATGGTGAAGGGAGATAAGTGAAACCAAGGCTAGGCTTAGCTAACAGTAAGTTTTGATGCTAAACATGAATTTTAAGATGATCTACACTGTTTATGGGAAGCCATCTTCTCAGAAGGCTGGATTTATTATGCAGTAGTAAGAAGGAATAATAATGTGGGTGCTGGGAATTGAACCCGGGTCCTCTGGCAGAACAGCCAAGGCTCTTAACTGCTGAGCCATCTCTCCAGTCCTACTGGTTGGGTTAACTACTTAAAAGATTAGTAAATACTGAGTGTGAATAAAGCTTTGAAACCATTACATCTGGGGCAATTTGTTATAGCAGCAACATTATCTTCTGTTCTTTCAGGTTATAGACCCAGTAAATGGGTTGCTTCTGCTGTCAGTGACCAATGCTGAAAAACATAGGCTGGAATGAAAGGAAGGGTCTGTCGATGATGGCCCAGGCTAGTCAACAAGTCACTCCAAAAGGGTTCTGTGACATCTACCATGTGTCTCTTCCCCCCACCCCCTTCTCTCTTTTGAGACAGAGTTTCATTTCCTGGCCTGGAACTTGATTTGTAGACCAAGCTAGACTGGAACTCACATAGATCCACCTGCCTCTGTCTCCCAAGTGTTAGTGGATAAAGGTGGCTGGCCCCAGGCCCTCTGTGCCCACCCCCACCACCTCCATTTATCTCCCTCAAGATACCCTGATTAGGAAGGCACACAACAGGTTCCACAGGTCAGGGTAGGCTGCACCTTCCCCTCAGAAGCATACTTGAGCAGACACCAGGAAGGCTAGCACTTGCCTAGGGGTAGGAGGGATGGGGGGTGCTCCACTGCTCAAATCAGAGAGACCAGAACCTCTGCTAGAGGCGGAAGACAGCCAAATTCCAAATGCAGACACAAATTCCTTTGGGATTCATCACTACAATCCTACCTGTACACAGGTCAGCAACACAACACAAACCCCCACTCTCAGCACTATAACAAAGGCCAGACCCTACCTGCACTCAGTGTGTCCCAGGCATTACACAGGGCGTTTTCATTTGTTATTCCATTTAGTCTTACCATCTACACTCTGATGGGCACTATTTATCCTGTTGTACAGAAGGAAAAGTCTCATCCTTAACAGGGTCAGTTTCCCAGAGTAGCCATCACAGCTCCTGCTCTAGAGGAGACCGTTGCCACAGTAACAAATGAGATAAGGCAGAATCAATCACACACTGGCACACACTCAACAAAGCCACAGACATCTGGTGGCACACAGTATCTCTGGACTATGATAAACAGCTTTCTCTCTCTCTCTCTCTCTCTCTCTCTCTCTCTCACACACACACACACACACACACATTCACAAACACACAGATACACTCTCTCACACACACACAGCCAGCGACAATAGAGATTGTCTCCCAGACTATGATAAACAACCCCATCAGTCTGTCACACTCGTTCACAGGTGCAACTGAGATGCTCAGGACTGTGTGCTCCCACATCCCACATCCTTTTCACACGCCACAGATCACGCAGTTGGCACACGCACCTGTTTCTTGAGGCCCACAGGCCTAGTCAGTCCCTCTCTCTGTCTCTGTGTCTGTCTTTCTCTCTCTGTTTTTCTGTCTCTCTTTCTCTGTCTCTCTCTCTTGCTCGCTCGCACCTGTTTCTCGAGGCTCACAGGCCTAGTCAGTCTCCGTCTCTCCCCCGCCCCTCACACATACACACACACACACACACACACACACACGGAATCACCTTTAGCATCCTCACACCAGGTCTAACCCACAAGTCATGCCAAGCCTACCCGGAGCCGTAGGAGTGCACCGAATCACCCTCAGATCACGAGAAGAGTTCAAGAGTGCTCGACCCACGCAAACCGGTGGCGCGCGCGCACGCGCATGCACACACACACACACACACACACACACACACACACACACACCAGCAATCATTTCCACAGCAGCCCCGCTCGCGGTCGCCAGTCCCCTCACCTGCCTCCCCGCTCGCGTCCTCAGCCTCTCAGCGGCGACAGAGCCTTTGCCAGCCGCCGAGCCCTTGCGCCTGCGCGCTCGTCTCCTCCCGGGACCCGCAGGGGGTCCCCTCGGGGCGGCTCCTCCCGCCGCCCTGTAAGAACACGTAGACGAGTGCGGCCCCGCCCTCCTGGGAGGGGGCTTCCCCCGGAACCACGCCCCCTGACGCTGCTCACGCAATCAGAGCCCCGGAGACCGAGCGAGGCCACGCCCTGCAAATTTGCATAGCGCGCGCGCGCGCTGGGAGGCGTGCTCGCCCGCGGGCGGTCGTGCGCGCTCCGGAGCCGAGGTCCGTCTCGGAGGGGTTCCGCGCAGCTCCAAGGGAGCGCCCGTGCAGCAGCGTGCGTCCGTCCCGGGGTGCTTCTCCTCCCAGGGTTCCACACCGCGGGTTCACGGCGCTCCCACGCGCCTCACGCCGCGCGCAACCGCGAGCTTGCCCCGCCTGCCTCCGACGTCCGGAAAGGGACTGTGGAGGACCACGCCCAGAACCTTGGGAAGGGCATGGCACGTCAAGCCTTCCTTGTCGCCCATCTGGGGACCTCGTGACCCCGAGAGGGGAGGACAGATTTTCTCCTGCCTCAGGACAGAAAGCCGGAGAAGGAAGAGGAGCGCCCCACCGTGGAGTCTGGATGATGCTTCTCCTTAGCTGAGCACGGAATTCCCGCACAATTAGCCACTGCATCCTCCCTCCCGAGCTATAAACCTGAGATTTTTAGGGGGGGAAAAAAAAAACCCTTAAAGGGGAAAGGCCTGCCCCAAACCTCTTCAGCAACCCTAACGATTTCTGGTTCTACCTTAACAAATCATAACTCTATCCAAGGCACTTCCGGAGCCACCTCCCATCTCACCCAGGAGAGAAGGAGCGGTGGTGGTGATCCTTGAGGAAACTCTTGGCTCCATGAAGGGCGAGGACTCGAGCCACACAGCGATCTTGCCAGGATAAGGACAGGGCTCGACACCGGACCCTGTAGCACCTTTAGCAAGAGCACAGCCATGAATTTGTGCACAGGAGAAAGCGTGGCCGCCGCACAATTCAACCTGCGTGTGAATGCACCGAGTGCCCCGAGGAAAGGAAGTGACTTATTTAGATCCTCACTTAAGACGGATGAGCATCAGCCGTGACATCTGAATGGTCACTGTGTGAGGAACACCGTTCTTAAGATCCTATAGTTCTCCCGACAGCACTCCTGAGGCAAAAGCTATGATTTCAAAACTATGATTTCATCTCACAGATGGGAAAACTGAGGTTCCAAGCACATGTTCCTTACCTGAGGCCGATGAACAGGAAACGGGGGAGGGGGAGCACAGAACTTAAGTTCTACACATCGTTTCTCTAAAGCGGAAACCCAGAGTGAAAGGGCCCCACCCCAAGAACAAGGGTACAGGGTGGGAAGCCCCGAAGAGGCGCGGCTCAGATACTCACATCCTCTATCCAGGAGGAACTATGATGTCACCGGCGATGAATGAGGCAGGCCATTATCTTGGAGATCAAGAGGACCCCATGACAGGTAGGGACTGAAGGATGCTGGGAGCCCTGGAGGCCAGGTCCACTTCCTCGGCCCTTTGTCCCGGGTTGGACACCTAACACCCAGGAGACCTCTTGGGACCTCAGGAACAGGCCTAGCACGCATGTCCAGACTCGCCTCTCCTGTCTCACCCCTGCAACAGTGCCCAGCTGACCCAGACTTAAGGACCCAAGGGTTCCTTCCACTGACAAGAAATGAGGAGAGGACACGTCTCGATGGCGCCTGTGGCACTCTGAAATGTGCCCTTTTGCCTACCGAGGATAGAAGGATACGAGGCTGGGGAAGGGGTTCGAGGAGAAGGCAGGGGGCGGGGAAAAGAGTAACACCATGAAAAAAAAATTGTATGAAAAAAATGCCATAAAGAAACGTAGAGGGCTGGAGAGATGGCTCAGAGGTTAAGAGCACTGGCTGCTCTTCCTGAGGTCCTGAGTTCAATTCCCAGCAACCACATGGTGGCTCACAGCCATCTGTAATGAGATCTGGTGCCCTCTTCTGGCCTGTAGTCATACATGCTGTATACAAAATAAATAAATAAAAATTAAAAAAAAAAAAAAAAAGAAAGAACTTAGAACTTGTATACGGGGAGGGGGGGGAGTGAAGGACAGAGGAAAGAAATAAAAACAAACAAACAAAAAACAAAGAGGACACAAACAAACAGGCCTCTCCACCCATCGGAATCCTGCTTTCCGCAGTACCCACGGGCTTTCTCACTCATCCCCCCCCCACCCTCCGTCTGGCATTTCTCTGTCTCCAAGGCAACCCATCTTGTGGGCTTGGAGTTTGGCCCAGCGACTTCTGGGTATTGTAGTATCAAAGAAGCCGAGGGGCGGGAGGTGCGATTGTCAGTAAAAAGGAGTTTGTTAGCAGACGCGCTTGCATCAGGGAAAGATTTGGGAGACTGAAAACGCTTTTCAGATATTCTTGAGGTGTGATTTGTCAGGAAAGAGGGAGGAGAGAAAAAAAAGAGGGTAGGCGCGAAGGTTTGTGGGAATTGTAGTTCTGCAGTCTGTGGCAGGCTGGAGCCGGAAGTTGAGACAGTGCCGCCTCGCGGCAGTTGTGAGCATAACAGCCGATGGACCTTGGCTGCTGCTTCCCCAGCACAGGTTCCCAAGGGCAGCCAGGGAGGCTGACTCCCTCTAGGATTCAGGCACAGGGTGGTGGGAGTGGGGGGTGCTATTTGTGCAACAGTAATGTACGTGCAAACCCTCACGTTGTGCCAGGATGACTGCTTTATAGTAAGTGAGCAGAGTGCACCAAACTTTTTCCCGCCTCCAAATTTGACAGGAATCATACTCTTGAGGCAAACCGGGTCGTTGAAGGCTCTACGGAGCACCCCTGCTCCTCTGGTCTAGCTTGTAACTTAACAAGTGACGCACACTTATTAAGAGTCCAGTTAGTGTAGTTGCCAAGGATACAGTAGTGAATAGGACCGGTGTACAGCCTACAGCCTTGAACCAATCCTTCTTTCTTTTTCTTTTTTTTTAATTGTTTGTTTTGGTTTTTCGAGTCAGGGTTTCTTTGTGTAGCCCTGTTGAACGCGCTCTGTAGACCAGAGTGGTCTTGAACTCATATTCTCCTGCCTCTGCCTCCCGAGTGTTGTGATTAAAGGCGTGCGCCACCCCTTCACCCCCTTCAAGATTTTTTTTAAATTTTTTTAATTAATTTATTTTTTTGGCTTTTCGAGACAGGGTTTCTCTGTAGCTTTGGTGCCTGTCCTGGAACTCACTCTGTAGCCCAGGCTGGCCTCAGACTCACAGAGATCCGCCTGCCTCTGCCTCCCAAGTGCTGGGATTAAAGGCGTGCACCACCACCGCCCGGCTCCGATTTTATTTTTATATTAGATGTGATTTTTGCCTCCACAAATGTGAAGTACACCACGTGTGTACCAGCAGAGGCCAGAAGAGGGCGACAGATCCTCTGTAACTAGAGTTACTGATAGTTGTGAGCCTCCATGTCGATGCTGGGAACCGAACCCAGGTCTTTTGCAAGAGCAGTGCTCTTAACTGCTGAGCCATCTGTCTATCCTCTTGTTTCCGTTTTGAGACAAATTCCCATGTATTGCAGGCTGGCCTGGAACTCGCTATGTAATCAAGAATGGCCCTTGACTCCTGATTCTCCTGCATTGACTTTGATACTGTCTAGGGGTGTATGGATGGGTTCATTTTCTCTGCCAACTAAAGAATTAAAATACAGGAAATACAAGCAGCGGTGGTGCACACCTTTAATCTAGCACTTGGGAGGTAGAGGCAGGTGAATCTTTGAGTTTGAGGCTAGCCTGGTCTACTGAGTGAGTTTCCAGGACAGCCAAGGCTACACAGAGAAACCCTGTCTCAAACAAAAAACAAAAGAGGGGCTGGAGAGATGGCTTAGTGGTTAAGAGCACTAGCTGCTCTAGCAGAGAATCAAGGTTCAATTCCCAGCACCCACATGGCAGCTCACGACTCTCTGTAACTACAGTTCCAGGGAAGCCAACATCTTCAGACAAACATGCATGCAGGCTAAACACTAATGCACATAAAATTAGAAAAAGAGGAGACAGGATATAGGTGTTGCCGGAAATCATAGAGAGTGCCAGCAGAGCTATCTTATGATACTGGGGAAATCAGGTTCTGCAAGCCCAGTGTGGGGAGAGTTTAACAACACACTTGGGCTCTGGCCAACATCCGAAAGCAAAAGAATATGAAAATAAGCCTTTCTGCTCTTGGATTTGTATTTGAAGGTCAGCAAGATGGTTTGGTGGGTAAAGACGCTTGCTGCTAAGCCGACACACACACACACACACACACACACACACACATACACACACACACACACACACACACGCACTGACTCAGGAGGTAATAGATTTTTTATTTAAAAATTATAGATGATTCTTAGCATGCCTCCACCCTGCGTTCATTTGCTGTGTTTGGGGAACAGAAGAAAGGAACCCTTAGCCCTTACACAGGTGTACATTTCGTTAGAGGAACAGTAAAGAGAGGCTGGAAATGGTCCAGAAGAGAAGCTGTGGGCGAAACCCGGAAACCCTGATCATTCTGCTGCTCTCCCGGCCCTGTCTCATGGCACGGTCCTCTGAGAAACTCCCTCTGGATACGCCCATCGCCCTCTGAGTTGACAGGCCCGAGTGCGAAGAGCTTCCTTGGGAGGTGAAATGCAGAGGTGCTGGAGCTGGAGGGCTTGTGAAGGTTGGGTGAGATGGGGCAGGTTCACTAGAAAGAACAGCAGGGGTCGTCTCTGAGGAAGAGGTGAGGGGGAGAAACACAGTTGGACACGTATTTACATCTTCATATATTCTCAGACTCCCGACCCCCTAGCCCCCAACCGCCCCATCGGACTCTATGTGCCACCCTTGAGCCTGCACCTCTCCCTCCATCCTGGACCACGCCCCTCAGGGCTATGGCCCCACCCACTTTGTCCGTCTGTCCGTCCAGTCCCATCCCCGCCCATCCGCAGCCGCCACCCCCCCCCCCCCCCGCCCCTCCCCAAGCTATTCGCTTCCCTCAGGCCTCATGGGCACTGGCCCCTACTTAACGATTTACACAAGTGGCTCAGCCACTTTGGAGGGAGGATTTTTTTTTTCCTTTGATTTCAGTTTTTTTGTTTCGTTTTTTTCAAGACAGGGTTTCTCTGTGTAACTCTGACTGTCCTGAAACTAGCTCTATAGACCAGGCCGTCCTCGAACTCAGAGACCCGCCTACCTCTGCCTCCCAGGTGCTGAGATTAAAGGTGTGCGCCACCACCGCCCGTATGTTTTTTTTAATATAGTTTTAAAGATTTACTTTTATTTTATGTGTGTCTTTATCCATGTGTAAGTGCACCCGTGCATGCAGTGTCCCTGAGGCCAGAAGAGGGTGTCAGATCTCCTGCCTCTAATGGTTGTGAGTCACCATGGGGGTGCGGGAGCCAAACCTGAGTCCTCTGCAAGAAGAGCAAATGGCCTTTACTACTGAGCCATCTTGCTGGCTTTTTAATTATCCACAGGTGGGTGTCTGTGGGTGGGTGGGTGGGTTTGTCCATCTGAATGCAGATGCGCTTGCAAGAGGGCCTTGCCGGCCAGCAAAGGACATCTGACCCCCTGTGGCTGGAGTTACAGGTAGTCCGAGTCCACAATGTGTGTGCTGGGAATTTAATTTGGATCCTCGGCAAGAGTAGTGTATGTTCTTAACCTCTGAACTGTCTCCCTACCTCTCTTCTTCAACAACAAAACAAAAACCCCCACTCAGAATTACATTTAATTTTATTCATTGTGCAGGGGAGGCGAACAGGCACGTGCCATATGTCCCGGGGTAAAGGAGCATGAACTTGGGACCTCCCGTGCAATTCTGTGACTCTGACTGGAGCTTACAAACCCAACCTTGAACACCAGGTATTAAAACCAACCTTCTGGACCCTGAGAGATGGCTCAGCAGATAGAGCCACTTTGTGGCCAAGACTGAGGACCCACGTGATAGAGGAGAGACCTGGCTCCAGCACGCTGTCCACTAACCTCCACATGTGTGCCGTGGCACAGGTACACATGCACGCACACAAATAATAGCAGCTGAAGAGACACTAGCCCACTGGAGCATGTGGCTCTGGCAGGCCTTGCCCTTCTCCCCCATTCCCTCTGCCTTGCTAAAAACCATTAGATTGCATTCCTAAAGCTGGACACCAAGGTCTAGTTCCTTATTTGGCCACTTCCTCCTCCTGAGGCTGACTACCAAGGTCCAGCAATCAGGAGCCCCCTTGGGCTCACCTAATTAACATGCCTAAATAAAATTAAACACTTCATCCTGACACAGTGTGGTGCTTTGAAAGAAAATGGCCCCCAAAGGGAGTGGCGGTACTAGGAGGTGTGGCCTTGTTGGAGAAGGTGTGGTCTTATTGGAGGAAGTGTGTCACTGAGGAGGCGGACTTTGAAGTCTCATATATGCTCAAGCCACGTCCAGTGTCCCAGACCACTTCCTGTTGCCTGCAAGTCAAGATGAAGGACTCTCAGCCCCTTCTCCATCACCATGTCTGCCTGCACACCACCATGTTGCACCATGACGATAATGAACCAAACCTCTGAAAATGTAAGCCACCCAATTAAATATTTTTTCCTTTATAAGAGTTACCATGGTCATGGTGTCTCTTCACAGCAATAGAAACCCTAAGATACACGGGGGTTTCACCTTTTATCTTTATAAACTGCCACTTTCCTGCGGGCCACATCTGTCTCCTCTCTATCCTGAGGCGGTCCTTTGTCACCCTTTGGGACAACTACCTCTGCCCTGTTCCCTTGCCCCCTGCCCTCTCTCCCTCTCCCTCCGGGGTTTGTCTCTTACCCCTGCCCTTTATCCCCTTTGTTCCGAGAATGTGGCCTCGGGGCTCCTGAGCATCGATCCCCATCTCTTTCAATAGCAAAATGTCATTTAAAAAGTTTAAAGTTAACCTCCCTGGGCCCATTGGCAAGAGATGAGATCTCCTTCCGGGCTGTGTCGTACCTCACATCCATATCCGGGTTACAGTAGTGGCAGTAACACTGGGGGAGATAACAATGATGAGTGAACACACAGAGAAAGACAAAATTCAAAACTAAACAAAATATAAACCAATCAGCTTCCTTCATTCCCACTTCGTCCCGCCTTCCCTCCTGTGGTGTTGCTGATGGGCCAGTCTCCCTACGTTCCCGAGCTGTGCCCCATCTTCCAGCCTGTTCACTCTCCATACCTCCTGTCACCGCCCCACCCAGTGTTTCTATTTCCGACAGTGATGACCTTTTGACCTGGGTCATTTTCAGTGCGGGTGGTACAGGAAGGTTGAGAGCTGTCCCTGGCTTCTCACTAAATCCCATCCCTCAGGGGTGGCAGTAAAATAATAAAATAATAAAACGTCTCCAGATACTGTTCAAAATCCTCTGGAAGAACAAGTCACCTCTATGAGAATGGGGGTTCCCCATCAACTCCTGGGTCTCCCCGTTTCCCTGAACCCTCAAACTCAATCCATGAGCTGCCTTCCTGGTAAGAGTATAGCCCAGTGGTTCTCAGCCTGTGGATCACAACCCCAGACCCTTTCATGGGGCTCTCCTGAGATCATCAGAAAACACGGAGATTTACATTACAATTCATAACGGTAGCAAAATGACAGTTATGAAGTAGCAACAAAAACGATTTTATGGTTGGGGGGGCGGGGGGGGGGGGGTGTCACCGCAACGTGAGGAACTGTATTAAAGGGCCGCAGCATTAGGAAGGTTGAGAACCGCTGCTCCAGCAGACCTAGCGGGATTTTCCTTGTGTTCACTACCACCACGGGCCCTGTCCTGACCACGGAGACCATCTCCTTCCCTCTGCTTCCCTTGTGTCCTGCTCCAAATTCCCTTCACACTCAGTGCCCAGAGGCTTCATTTCACAATTCTGATGGGCCGGGGGTGGGGGTGGGGGGGTGGGGGGGGGGTCTCAGCTGGCAGAGTGCTTGCCTAGCATGCATGAAGTCCTGGGTTGATCCCAAGCACCCGCTCAACTAGATATGGCAGTTCACGCCCCAAAACGTCAGCATTTAGGAGGACCAAGAGCACAAGGTCATCCTGGCCTACATTCGAGACCCCGTTTCAAAAAACAAACACGAGTCAACGAGAAGACTCAGCAGGCAGAAATGTGTGTAGGTGTCTTATCCATCAGCGTCTCCAGAAAACAGTAAAACATTTGGCCCTTAAAAATCTACCGAATCTGGGACAACAACCCAGTCACAAAACCATCAATCAACCCACAATCTATCCTGCCTGCAAGATGTGCTGGGGCAATGGTTGCGCAGAACTCGTGGGAGTGGCCAAATAATGACTGGTCGAACTTGAGGCCCACACCAGGAGAGGGAGCCCATGCCCCACACTGCCTGGAGGGCCAGGAACCAGAGGCTGGAGAGCCCAGAGACGTAGCATAAAATCAAACGCGACTAGCAAAAAAAAAAAAAAAAAAAAAAAAAAGGCAGTGAAATGATTTCGAATGATGTTCTGCTATACTCATAGATCGGTGCCTAGCCCAACTGTCATCAGAGAAGCTTCCTCCAGCAACTGTTGGGAGCAGATGCAGAGACCCACAGCCAAACACTAGGTGGCGCTCAGGGAACCCTGCAGAAAAGGAGGAGGAAGGATTGTAGGAGTCAGAGGGGTCGAGGACACCAGGAGAACACGGCCCACAGAGTCAACTAAGAGGGGCTCACAGAGACCGAGGCAGCAACCGTGGACCCTGCGTGGGGCTGCACTAGGTCCTCTGCATATACATTGTGGTTGTGTAGCTTGGTGTTCTTGCGGGACTCCTAACAGCGGGAGTGAGGGTGTGTTTCTCTTTCAGCTGCTTTTGGGACCCTTTTCCTAGTACTGGGTGGCCTTGTCCAGCCTTGATATGACTTAGTGCAACATGATATGCCATGTTGGGTTGGTAGTCCTGGGAGGCTTGCTCTTTTCTGAAGGGGAATGGAGGAGGAGTGGATCGAAGAGAGGGGTTGCTGGGAGGAGTGGAGGGAGGGGAATCTGTGGTCGGGATGTAATATATGAGAGAATAATAATTAAAAATAAAAGAATCTCCAGAGAGAGAGAGAAAGAGAGGGGGGGAGGGGGAGGGGGAGGGGAGGGGGAGGGGGAGAGGGGAGGGGGAGGGGGAGAGGGAGAGGGAGAGGGAGGGAGAGGGAGGGAGGGAGAGGGAGAGGGAGAGAGAGAGAGAGATTGAGAACACAGTTGGCGTTTCACAGGAAACAGCGCTCTTAGTGGCATGGGTCTTGTCCTAGGGAGGTGGTTCAGTAAGAAAAGCAGCTTGTGGCCACGCCCGACGATCAGGGTTCAGTCTGAGACTGGATGTAGCAATGATACCGGCAAACTGAAGTAGTAACACTGACGCTCGAATGGATTTACTCACAGACCTGCTTAGGACGGACACACCAAGTTACACGAAGTAGGAGTTAGCTGATGGAGTATTGCCTCCGATGTGGCCAGGAGATGAAGTGGTGTGCTCACCCGGCTGGGACAGAATGAAAATCCTGTACCATCATTAAAAGTTTAGGGTCCTTGAGAAAGTTTCTGCTGGTGTTTGTTCACCAGGATTGACCTCCAATTAGGCTCCATTCCCATAACAAAAGGAGGTAGCCCAGACTTACAACCAGTTCCCACATCAAAGAATATGCCTCTTCGAGGCAGCTCAAGGGGGCAGTGTGGGGTCACAACCATCATTAAGTCCTAGCCTGCCATTAAATCCCTTGTGCTCTTATCAGTAAAAACATAATTCTGCCAGGTGGGCAAGATGACCCTGGATAACAACTCTTCGAAGCAATCAATACTGATATATGTAAATAATTCTGGCAATAGAATCTTAGCTGTGTAAATCTCCCACCTGCCCAAGTGGCCAGACTTGCAGTCTCTTGGCTGTTTAGACTGTTCGAAGTGTAAACTGGGGCCAGTACAATGTAAAGTGCAGGTGCCTAAGGTGTATCTAAGTTAGTAAAATCTTGTCTTCATGACTGGCAACCCTTTGGGTGTTAACTGGAGCCAGTCCATTTGCAAGTGTGAAATTGCCCAAACTTGCAATTATCCAAATTTTCCTTTATCAATCTCTAAGTGTGCAGAACGATTTCTCTCTGGGAAGGCATTTTAATTCTAGAGGAAGAAGAGGAGGAATCTAGGCACATGGATTTCTCCAGAGACCCTGAAGAAGTTGGATATACAGTACAGAACAGAGGTAACCGAGCCATGTGGCAGAATGTAGATTAATAGAGATAGGTTAATTTAAGTTATAAGAGCTTGTTGGGGAAAAAAAACCCTATGCTAAGGTCAAACTTTCATAATTGATATTAAGTCTCCCTGTCGTTGCTGGGGAGCTGGCAGTCCCACAGAAGACAATCTGACAAGAAAGTTTGCTGTGCTGTGCTGTGTAGATGCCCTTCTCCCATGGTGCCTCCTCCTTCTCTCCCTTTCTAACCTGGCCCTCTCCTCCCCTTCCTCCCTCCTTAGACAGAAAGGCACCCAGGCACGGCCTCCTTACCCAGTCTCCTTTATTGTAGGACACGAAGAAGAAGGTCATCACCATGTAGGCACATCTCAAAAAGCTCCATCCGCCATGCCTCACGAGTACCTTGGCTGTGGTGGTGGCTGGGGGGGACTTCACTAAAGTGAAAATGGTGAGAAGGATCGACAAGACCCAGAAACCAATCCCTGGCCCGCTGGCGCTCCAAACTTGTGTCCCTATGTATTTCCTGAGTTGAAGTTTTTTTTTAACGTTCAATGTTGTGGCCATTGTCTCCCGTCTTGGTCATCACTCAACTCCCAGGCAAACAATTTGCTCTTTCATCTCTCTCTCTCTCTCTCTCTCTCTCTCTCTCTCTCTCTCTCTCTCTCTCTCTCTCTCTCTCTCTCCTCATATCTAGGCATCACTGAGTCGAACCCATACACTGAAGAAAAAAAAACCACTCAGCAGAAACCGCTTTTTGCTCTGTGGGAACCTCACCAACATCCCTCCTCGTGTTGTTTTGACTATTTGTTTAATTTGGTTCGGTTTTTGAAACAGGACCCCACGGACTCAGGCTGGCTTCAAACTCAATATGTAGCTAAGGATGACCTCTTGATCCTCCACCTCGAAAGTACTTGGATCCCAGGCATGTGCCTCCAAGCCCATCTTACTAACTCTCTCGATTTTCTCTTCTCTGTGTGCATGTTCTCTGTGTGTATGTGTGCTTTATACATATGCGCACGCACACACACACACACACACACACACACACACACTCACACACACACTCACACACATGCATGTGAAGGCCACAGGCTGATGTCAGAGTCTTCATCAAGCCTGCTCCACCTTATATTTTTTTCTACCTTTTCTTTTCTTTCTTTCTTTTTCTTTTTCTTTCTTTTTTTTTTTTTTTTTTTGAGACGGGGACTCTCACTGAGCCTGGAGCTCACTGGTTTGGCTAGGCTGGCTAAACTCCACATGGGCCAGTGTGGAGGCTAGAGGACATCTTGCAAGAGCCCCCTCTTTCTTGGAGATGAAACTCAGGTCATCAGATTTGGCAGTAAGCACCTGCTGAGGCAGCTTGCCTGCCCCGCCCCGCCCTTTAACATTCTTTATTTTTTAAGATGTGTGTGGTGGTTGGAGTGAGAATGGCCCCCACAGGCTCGTGTGCTTTATACTTGGTTCTACAGTTCCTGGAACTGTTTGGGAAGGGTGAGAAGGTGTGGCCTTGTTGGAGGAGGTAAGTCACTGTGGGTGGGCTTTGAGGTTTAAAAAGCCCACACCTTCTCAGTTAGTGCTCGCTCTCTGTCTCTGCCTTACGCCTGTGGATCGTATGTAAATTCTCAGTTATTGCTCCAACGTCATGCCAGCCTGCCTGCCTGCCTCTGGCCTCCCCACCATAACGGTCATGGACTCACCCTCTGAAACTCTAAGAAAACCAACCAATTAAATGCTTTCTTTCATAAGTTGCCTTGGTCACGGCATCTCATCACAGCAATAGGAAAGTAACTAAGACAATGTATTTTATTATCGTTGTGTGGGTGTGCAATATGTCCGCACTGGTGTGTGCATATCATAGTGCACATGTGGCGGTCACAGGACAGGTTTAGTTGTCTCCCCTCACCTTTACGTAGGTTCTGACTGAATGCAGTTCCTCAGACTGCTCCAAAAGCTCTTTTAACCATGGAGCCTCTGGGGGCCCTGATTTTGATATCGGGTCTCTGTGGGGTTCTCATAATCTCCTAAAACATGTTGCTTGGTGGTTCTTCTAATCAACATACAACTCACAAGAGTTAGTTCTCCTCTATGGGGATCAAACTCAGGTCCACAGGCTTTGGCGGCAAGCTCCTCTATTCTCTCAGCCATCTCGCCAATCCGGAAACTCAACTCTTAATTCTAACTGCCTGTTCTTAGTTCTAGGATTTCAATACTTGTTATAAATTACTGTATTTTCCTGGTGACATTACCGATAGCTCTAGCTTTTTTTTTTTTTTTTTTGTGAGACAAGGTCTTGTGGATCCCAGGCTGGCCTCCAACTGGCCATGTAGCGTAGGCTAGCCTTGAACTTTTCCTTTCTCTACTTCCTAAGTGAGTCACAACCCCTTTGTGGGTCGAACAACCCTTTCACAGGGGGTCACCGAAGACCATTGGGAAACACAGATATTCACATTACTATTCATAACAGTAGCAAAATTATAATTATGAAGTATCAATGAAAATAATTTTATGGTTGGGGGTGTCACCACAACATGAGGAACTGTACATAAGGGTCACAACGTTAGGAAGGCTGAGATCTACTGTCCTAAGTGTTCTGTGCCCAGTGGTATTTTTGTTTGTTTATTTTGTTGTTCATTTTTGCTTTGTTTTGGTTCTGATATAGATGCGCACTATCCTAAGCTGGCCTTGAATTGGCTACTCAGTCAGATCCAGCTTGTAACCTGCAATCCTCCTGCCTCTGCCTCCAACGCTGATGTCCGATTAGGATGTCCAGTGGTCCCACCTCTCTTTTCTGATGTTACTTCTCGGTTCTGTGTTTTGAAAGGGGAGTCTCACGAAATCCAGAGTGGCCTTGGACCTTCATAAGCTGCCCATGCTGGCCCTGAACTGCTCATCTTCTAGCCTCTTCTTCCTGAGCCCTGAGGTCACAGGTATGAGGCACCACACCCACTGTGTGTGGTCCTAAGGATCGGACCCAGGCCTTCGTGCCTACCAGGCTAGCACTCTGCTGAGTTCTACCCCACAACCCAACCCCAGCTCCTTTAACTCTCTCCACTATCCCCCTCACTCGGAGGAGGCTTGCTTCTGCTCTCTACGATTCTTTCTTAGGTCCCATCCGCGCACACACCTGTCATTCAACTTACCTGCTCATTTCCAAGGCAGATGAGAGGGGTTTGGAGGCCGGCAGAAGCAGAATGCCTCTTCTTACCTCCATGTGTCAGGCACCTCGACCCAGAGGAGCAGAGGCGAAGGGAGAGGGTGGCTGAGGGCTACGGATGCTTCCCGATGACTCGGGTACCGACGCATCTGAACTCTGAACTTTCCTCGGGTAATGGCTACACCTCCCTCAGAGGGAAGGTGCTCACCGCCTGCAGGAGGGAACGGGCACACAGCCCCACCCACCTTCTTCTTGGCAGTCATCTGTTTCTTCTAAGAAGGAAAAAGACGGAGACAGTAGAGGAGGAGAGGGAGGAGAGGAAGAAGGGGGCAGGGGGAAGGGAAGAAGAAACAAAGGAAAATTAGCGACTGCATGGGGATCTGTGGGGTAAAAGGGGACCCCCCTTGGCCTCCTTGGTGTCCCTGGACTCAGGCACTCTACTACCAGGCTGCACACATGCTATCCCTGTGCACGAAGCGCCCTTTCCCCAGATACACATGCATGCACACAAATGCACACAATATGCACATGTATGTGGGTCCCCCTGTCCTCTCAAGACTTGGCTCAGGTGTCACTTCCCTCTGGCACCGTCTAACACACTGGGCTCTAACACACTGGGCTCTCATGTCCCCTGCACTCCTCTCCTCAGAGAACAGCAGTGTTCAGGCTCTGAGCCGGCTTCTTGAGGCCCTTGTTTCCCTCTCGCCAGAATACTAGCTGCATTTGTGTGCTTGGTTTTGTTTTTTAAAATTACATTTATTTATTTGGTGAATGTGTATGGTGTATGTTGTGTGTGTGTGGGGGGGGTCTGTGTGTATGTAGGGTTATGTGTGGTGTGTGTTGTAGTGTATGTGTGGGGGGAGCGGTCTATGTGTATATGGGGGTATGTGTAGTGTGTGTGGTGGTAGTATATGTGTGGGGGGGGCTGTGTGTATGTAGTGGTATGTATGGGGTGTGTGGTGGTGGTGATGGTGGTGTGTGCATGTATGTGTGTGGTGTGGGGTCTGTGTGTATGCAGGGGTATGTGTAGTGTATGTGGTGATAGTATATGTGTGTGGGGGGCTGTGTGTATGTAGTGGTATGAATGGGGTGTGTGGTGGTGGTGATGGTGGTGTGTGCGTGTGTGTGGTGTGGGGTCTGTGTGTATGCAGGGGTATGTGTAGTGTGTGTGGTGATAGTATATGTGTGGGGGGGCTGTGTGTATGTAGTGGTATGTATGGGGTGTGTGGTGGTGGTGATGGTGGTGTATGCGTGTATGTGTATGGTGTGGGGTCTGTGTGTATGTGGGCTGTGGGATTCCACAAAGGTTTCCTAGTGAGATCTGAGTTTGCTTTACACAGCAGGGCTGCATTAGAGGATGGCTTGGTCACATGCGTGGTCACCAGATGTTTGGGATGGTCTGCACTTGGCTGTGCTGGGGGGGAGGTCTTTTGCTCCACCCCTTGGCATTTCTATAAATAGCCCTTTAGAAGAGAAAGAAGGGGCTGGTAGGTTTTGACCCAGGCCCTCCTGAGCTATCCTGTGTTTCTATCTGTCTCTCTCCTCTATATTTCTATCTACATATTCCTTATTTCTCCCTGCTCAAGAGTACCCTGGAGGAAAAAGTGGGGGCTGGCCCCCCACAGTGGGGGTATGTGTGGTACATGTGGTGGCGGCAATGGTGTGTGTGTGTGTGTGTGTGTGTGTGTGTGTGTGTGTGTGTGTGTGTGCTGTAGATCTGCAGGCCAGGCACACGTGTGGCAGTCAGAGCACAGCTAATGAGAGTTGATTCTCTCCTGCCCCCACTTGCATCTCAAGGACTGAACTCAGATCATCAGTCTCAGCAGCAAGTGCCTTTTCCCACCGAGCCATTTCCCTGGCTCTTTTGTGTGTGTGTGTGTGTGTGTGTGTGTGTGTTTGTTTGGATCAGGGTCCTACGTAGTGTGGGCTGACCTTGAACTTGCTATGTAGCAGAAGATAAACTTCTGACCCTCCTGTGCCCGCCTCCCGAGTGCTGGCATCACAGGCCTGCACCACCTCGCTCAGCTTGCCAGCTGCAGCTGGGGACGTATTTCACGTATCGTGTTCCCTGTTATGTCTCGACACCTAGAAGATAACTCAGCGCAGAGAGTGGAACGTGAAGTGGTATCTGTTGGTGAGTACGTGACGTCATATGGTTGTCCTGCTAATGATGGTGGGGTTGAGAGACGCAGGGTTGGATGACGTCTAGAGGCTCTTCCAACCCCCAAACCTAATAGCTCTGTATATTCAGAAACAAAAAGGATGAGGTCACCAACTCACCGTTCAGCACTTGGAGGCTCAGCAGACCTAAGACAACAGAGACGCGCAAATAGAATCACAAAGGTAGCCAGACAGAACTCAGATCAATAGGGCCCACAGGCTCACCAACCCCTGTCTGCTAACGAGCCCTGCAGAATTCTGACCGACTTGCTTGCTTGCCTGCCTGCTTGTTTCCTTCCTCCCTCCCTCCCTCCCTCCCTCCCTCCCTTCCTTCCTTCCTTTTGATATAGGAGAAACTGGGAATAATAAGTTGATGATGCAAAGCATCTACTAAACTTGCTTAGGAAATAAATATTAAGGTACACAAAGCAGCACTTAGCTAAAGGAGCTCTCGGTTCGCCTACCCAGAGGACTGTGATTCTGCCAGGCAGACAGGATGACCCTGGTTGACAGCAGCCTGGCAAAGCAGCCTGTTCATCTCAAGATGACTATGACAATATTTTATACTGTAAGTCCCCCCATCCGTCCAAACAACCAAAGCTTGGCCTTTCTGTCTCTGGGAAACATGTTTTAAATGCTCAAAATGTAACTTGGGGCTGTGACACTTTGTAAACTGAAAGGATTTTCTGTTCAGAGCTGGTTCCCTTCTACACAATTAGCCTGAACCACTCAGACTCATTAAAGAGTTTTTCTGTATTAATCTCTAAGTGGTATAGTAATTTCTCACTGGGAAGGTGTGTAAAGTCTATAATTTATTCTTTAACACTTTCTCTTTGGGGACAGAGTCACACTGTGCAGCCCTGGCTGAACTGGAACTTGCAATGTAGCCCAGGCTGGCCTCAAACTCACAGAGATCTTCCTTCCTTTGCCTCTGGGATTAAAGGGGTGTGCCACTATGCCCAGCACACCAATTGTCTTTCTCTCATCATTATTATTATTGTCGTTGTTGTTCTTTTTACTGGTGTATATATGTTTATGCTTGTGACTGTGAGCACAAGCATATTCTAAGAAGCATGCAGATGTCGGAGGACAACTTGCAGGAGTCAGCTCTCTCCTTCCTCCGTGTGGGACCTGGGAATCTAACTTAGGCCAGCAAGCTTAGCAGCAAGGGACTTTTCCTGCTGAAGCATCCTGCTCCTCTCTCTCTCTCTCTCTCTCTCTCTCTCTCTCTCTCTCTCTCTCTCTCTCTCTCTCTCTCTGTGTGTGTGTGTGTGTGTGTACCATGTGCACAGGCATGCATGCCTGCATGCATGGAGGCCAGAGGTCAACCCCAGGTGTAATTTTCCAGGGGCTTGTCCATCTTATTTTTAGAAACAGAGTCTCTCATTGGCCTTGAGCTCACCAAATAGGCTATGCTGGTTGGCCCATGAGCCCCAGAGATCCACCTGTCTGTGTCTTCCTAGCACCAGGATTATAGGTGTACACCACCACAGATCCTGAATTTCCCAGGAGGCCTGCACCCACCGGCACCACATTTCAGGTTCCCACCTTCTCCCCCACTTTGGCACACAAGGCAATAAAAAGAGGCTTGGTGCACAGGGCTTGGTCCCACACAGAACGAGGTGCTTACCGAGGATCTCTGTGGTCCGTCCGGGAGGCAGGAGGTAGTGATGAGTCCAGGGTCCATGAGAGAGGAGACCACAAGAGGGAAAAATACATCACAGCATTACGTGGTGGGAGATAGGGACCAAATGTGCTCAGAGCCCGGGACAGTGGGCCTTAGATCAGAGCTGACCTGACAGCATTGGCCTAAGAAATCTGGAGGTCAATGAGAATCTGACAGTGATGGAGGACAGAAGGGATAGTCAGGGCCTTTAAAATGTATTATTATCTTTACATTTATTTGTTTTATTTCATGTGTGTGGGGGTGTTTGCCTGCATGTATCTGTGCACCACATGTACGCCTGCTGCCCTTTAGAGGTCAAAGGAAGGTGTTGGGTCCCCTAGAACTGGAGTTATGGACAGTTGTGAGAGGCTATGTGAATGCCAGGAATTCCAGTCTTCTGGAAGAGCAGCCAGTGCTCTCCACACTGAACCACCTCTCCAGCCCCTAATTAAAAAAAATTGTTTTTATTTACATGTATATGTGTATGTGTGTGTGTGTGTGTGTGTGTGTGTGTGTGTGTGTGTGTGTGTATGTGTATGTGTGTGTCTGCAAGTGCCTACAGAGACCAGAAAAGGGCACTGGAGCCCAGGGATCTGGAGTGACAGGTGAATATGAGTCACCCAACGTGGGTGCTGGGAATCAAATTTGTGTTTTCTGAAAGAACAGCAAGCACTCTTAACCACCAAGTCACTTCCCCAGAATCCTGTTTTAATATTATTATTATTGTTGTTGTTGTTATTGTTATTTGTGTGTGAGTGCAGGTGTCTACTGAGGCCAGAAGTAGGCATCAGATCCCCTGGAGCTGGAGTTCCAAGCGGATACTGAGCCACCAGACGTGGGTGGGATCTGAACTCAGATCCTCTGGAAGAGCAGCAAGTGCTCTTGATCACTGAGCCATCTCTTTAAGCCTCTCTTATAATCTTTCCAGTTACGTTGTATTTATTTACTGGTGTGTGTGTGTGTGTGTGTGTGTGTGTGTGTGTGTGTGTGTGTGTGTACACCGCAGCATGCACGCAGAGGTCAGAGGACAACATGTCAATTCTCTCCTTCTACCATGTGGATACTAGGGATCAAACTCAGGCTTTTCCCTCTGAGTTATCTGGCTGTTCCTACACCTGCCTTTTTGAAGACGGAAGTAATGGCAGTCCCACTCTACCCCCACTCCCGACAGTCCCTGAGCGGATGGCGGACCTCCGGGCAACAATTAGAAGGGGAAGCAGATGAAAAGAAGAAAACTGTAAACTTACTTTTCAATACTGTTGAAACAGAAGCGTCGAGGACAGGAAAAACCAGGTGGAGTTGTTGAGTACCAGCGGCAGTGAAGATCCGAGAGGAAACGAGTGTTAACGATGCCTGGCCTTTTCCCCTCCCGCCCGGAGCATCCTCAGTAGAGGCCCTCCCCACACCGAATGTGGAAATATCATCCAGTCCAAATGGCACCACAGAGATGCTGGATCGTCTGTGACCTGATGTTTTAAGACACACTCATCCTTATGACTGGAATCCCTTGGCCTCAGTTTCCCCTGGGGATTGATTCATCCTACAGATACCTGAAGGGGATCAGAAAGGCGTCTCTACTCTTCTCTCTTTCCCCGAGTGAGGGAGGAAAAGCTTGTTTTTTTTTGTTTTGTTTTCTACCTATAAACACACATAACTCTTGCTGTCCCATGCTCTAGGGCAATGTGGAGATTGGAGAATCTGCTCAAATCCTGGGACCCCTCCATGCAGCCCCAGGAAGCGAGTGGAGCCTGAAGGCCACCTTGAGTCTCCTCCACAGGTAGCTCTGAAAACAGCTTGCTTGCAGGGTGGGCGGTGGTGGCACACGCCTTTAATTCCAGCAGAGGCAGGAGGATCTCTGAGCTCAAGACCGGTCTGGTCTACAGAGAAGCCCTGTCTTGAAATGCCCCCCCCCCCAAAAAAAAAACCAAAAAGCAAAAAAACCTAAATAACAACAAAAACCAGCTTTCTCTTCTCTTTCCTCTCCTCCCTTCCTCTCCCTTCTCCTCCCTTCCCCTCTCCTTCCTCTCCCCTTCTCTTCTTCCTATTTTTTTTGGGGGGGGAGATGGAACCTCATATAGCCCAGTCTAACCTCAAACTCAGTATGTAATTGAAGCTAGCCTTGAGCAGCTAACCCTCCTGCCTCAGTCTCCAGCGGGCTGGGATCATAGGCATGTACCACCATGCCTGGCTCCCTTCTTTCTTGTTCCCCCTCCTTCCAAGTATCTGGAAACACCCAAGTTACCCACTGGAAGGGAAAAACTCTAAAAATTATTTCTTGTGCTAGGCATGGTGGTATATACCTATAACGCCAGCACTGTATATGTATATACCTGTATATGGCTCTACCACTGAGCCATGCCCCCAGCCCCTCACTGGGGGATTCTAGGCAGGGGCTCTACCACTGAGCCACATACCCAGCCCCTCCCTGGGGGACTCTAGGCAGGAGGCTGAGACAGGATCGAGAGTTTGAGGTCGTCCTTGGTTATATATAGAGTTTGAAGCTAGCCTGGGCTACTTAAGACTATTCCATCAAACACCAAAGGACATTAACTGTAAAAGGAAAAATAACTTACTTTTCACTGGAGGGTGGATTGGAAGCAGAATCAAGTGGTCAGTGTGGAAAAGAAAGGGAAAGAGAATAGAATGAATATTAGTACCTCTGCCCCTGGTACCTCCCATTTTTTTTCCTGGTAAAATATTTTAAAGAGTGCTGGGAGTATTCTAGGAGTATTCCTGTGTCCTGTTGAACAAACTCAGAGAGCAGACCAGGTCTGCAGGATCCCCAAGCAGCCTTACCATTCTCCTCTGGCCTCAGCCTTACCTCATCTGTGGGCATTATCAAGTCTAATCTGAGCTATTTCCCATCAATGCCTGCACAGGCTGAACACCCCTAATCCAAAATGCTCCAGTGACAAGCTTTTTGAGTGTCAATGTAATGCTCAAATAGTTTCCCTTTGATTTGTTTTTTATTATTTTTAAGGCTTATTTTACTTTTATTTATGTATGTATGTCTGTGTTAGCAGATCCCATATGCATGCCCTCAGAGGCCAGCTAGAGTCACAGGCAATTGAAAGCTGTCTTAGGTGGGTGCTGGAACCCTAACTTGAGTTTTCTGGGAGAGCAGAAAGTCCTGTTAACCACTGAGTCATCTTTCCCTCCTCCATTTGTTTTTAATTTTTGAGATAGGGTCTTCTCAGTCCATAGACCCAGGCTATCCTTTGATCTACCTACCAACTCATTGTGCAGGGTGGAATCCAGCCAATCCTCCCGCCTTGGCCTCCCAAGCCCTGGAATTGCAAGTGAGAGCCACCACATCCAGCTTTGGATTTAGGAGCTGTATGGACCGGATTTGGGGGTATAGGGTGAGAGATGCTGAATGGGGAGAGTCCGTGTCAATGGTCACAATTCTGAAAATGTTTGAAACTTGAAACACTTCTAGCCTCGGGCATTTCAGTCAGGGAAACTAAAGCTGCCCAAGACTAGAGAAAAGATGAATTTGGCTCCGCTAATCAGAAACATCCAGCATACTTACTTTGTACATTCACGGACTTGGCAATGGGCTGGACCAACTAAATCAACGGAATTGCTGTGACCTAGCCATCATCCTATCTGCATTATCATCCCTCTGTCCCCTGTCCTTCAGCCCCACTGTCCTGTCTGGGCAGAGTTCCCCAAACTACTTCTGGTTTTTCTCTGTCTAACTTGTGAATTACTTGCTCTAGCAAACTTTTTTGTTGTGGTACTGGGGACTCAATATAGGGCCTTGTGCATGCTAGCAGAGCACTCTACCACTGAGCCACACCCCCAGGCCCCCACTGGGGGATTCTAGGCAGGGCCTCTACCACTGAGCCACACCCCAGCCCCTCACTGGGGGATTCTAGACAGGGGCTCTACCACTGAGCCACACCCCAGCCCCTCACTGGGGGATTCTAGGCAGGGGCTCTACCACTGAGCCACACCCCCAGCCCCTCACTGGGGGATTCTAGGCAGGGGCTCTACCACTGAGCCACACCCTCAGCCCCTCACTGGGAGATTCTAGGCAGGGGCTCTACCACTGAGCCACACCCCCAGCCCCTCACTGGGGGATTCTAGGCAGGGCTCTACCACTGAACCACACCCCCAGCCCCTCACTGGGGGATTCTAGGCAGGGACTCTACCACTGAGCCACACCCCCAGCCCGTCACTGGGGGATTCTAGGCAGGGACTCTGCCACTGAGGCACACCCCAGCCCCTCACTGGGGGATTCTAGGCAGGGGCTCTACCACTGAGCCACACCCATAGCCCCTCACTGGGGGATTCTAGGCAGGGGCTCTACCACTGAGCCACACCCCCAGCCCCTCACTGGGGGATTCTAGGCAGGGACTCTGCCACTGAGCCACACTCCCAGCTCCTCACTGGGGGATTCTAGGCAGGGGCTCTACCACTGAGCCACACCCCCGGCCCCTCACTGGGGGATTCTAGGCAGGGGCTCTACCACTGAGCCACACCCCCAGCCCCTCACTGGGGGATTCTAGGCAGGGGCTCTACCACTGAGCCACACCCCCAACCCCTCACTGGGGGATTCTAGGCAGGGGCTCTACCACTGAGCCACACCCCCAGCCCCTCACTGGGGGATTCTAGGCAGGGCTCTACCACTGAACCACACCCCCAGCCCCTCACTGGGGGATTCTAGGCAGGGGCTCTACCACTGAGCCATTCTCTGTTCTTATTTTTTATTTTGAGACAGAATTGAAGTCACGGCTATCTTGGGCAGCTTAGTGAGAACTTGTTTGAAAATAGATATAAAAAGTGCTTACGGGGTATAGCTCATCATCAGTTACAGCACTTGTCTGGAATCCCCCAGTGAGGACTTGGGGGTGTGGTTCAGTGGTAAAGCACCATCCCAGCATACATGAGTTCTGAGTTCAATCCCTGGCGATATGGGGTCAGGGGCGGGGTGGGGGCAGGGGCGGGTAGGTGAGGGTCATAAATTTTCAAAGTACTTACTTTCTTCTTCTGTCCTGTCTGTAAGGAAGAGTGAATGTAGCCATGTTCAACGGGGGTGCAGAGAGACGGGGAGAGAGGGAGGGGTGGGAGTGAAGGTGGGTATGGGGGAAGGAGAGAGAGAGAGAGAGAGAGAGAGAGAGAGAGAGAGAGAGAGAGAGAGAGAGAGATTAATAGTTTTGCCACCAAATAGCATCCCCGACCAGTCAGAGACCAGAGATGAGAACGCTATCAGAAGGCGGGCAACTCCACTCTCTCAATTTACAGGGTAAGACAGGACTCAAGTCCGCAACCACTCTTTCTCCTAAGAAACATTCAAGGAGCACCTGCGGTATCCTGGGCCTGAGCAAGATCTGGGTGAGACAATATCTACCCCAGCGAACAATATCCATGGTTTTCCAGGAACTCGCAGAGGAAGGGGAACAAAAGCCTTGTGAAGTGGGACAGAGGTGTGAGTCGTGTTCTGGTCAACCTGCAGGACACAGTGGGAACTTATAAAGGGATGGTGGTTGCTGACCTGGAGTGGTTACCAGGGGAGGCGTCTTGGAGGAGGATATGATGTTTTGTCTGAAACCTGAAAGATGAGCAGGGGTTAGCTGAGTGGAAAATAAAACCTTGGAAGGGAAAGGAAAAAATTATCCCAGACGTGGGGAAGAGTATGGGGATGGCTCTGCCTGGAAAGAACTCAGCTGGAAATGGGGCCGAGAGACAAAATTATAGCTGGATGATGAAAAGACACGCGAGCAATCTTAACATCCTCGACTCCATCTGAGAGCAAGGGAGGTGTTGCTGAACAAACGGGACTTGTGATCAAATCTTAGTTCATCCGTCTCCTAGCTGTGTGACCCACTTCATTTCCTCAACACAAAAAGCCAGCGAAGCTTGGAAAAGGCGGCTCAGCAGTTAAGAACACTGGCTGCTTTTACTAGACAGAAGTTCCGATTCCTGGAACCCGCAGGGTGGCTCACAACTGCCTCTAACTCCCGGCTCCAGGGGATCTGATGCCCTCTTCTGGCCCCTGTGGGCACTGCATGCACTTGGTTCACAGACATACATGCAGACAAAACACCCAGACACGTAAGATTAAAAACAAATATATTTAAAAAAATAAAAAGAGCCGGGCGGTGGTGGTGCACGCCTTTAATCCCAGCACTCGGGAGGCAGAGCCAGGCGGATCTCTGTGAGTTCGAGGCCAGCCTGGGCTACCAAGTGAGTTCCAGGAAAGGCGCAAAGCTACACAGAGAAACCCTGTCTCGAAAAACCAAAAATAAACAAACAAACAAACAAACAAACAAACAAACAAACAAACAAATAAATAAATAAATAAATAAATAAATAAATAAATAAATAAATAAAAATAAAAATAAAAATTAAAAGAAAGTGAACTCCAGGTTCAGTGAAGAGAGCCCGTCTCAAGAAAAACTCAAGTGGAGAGTGACTGCAGAAGACAGCCAACATTGACCTCTGGCCTCCACAGGAGCGTATGTGGATATACACACCGGTGCACACACTAACATGCACACCTGCCTACACTGCACATATACACAATGGAATCATATTCAGGTGGTGCACACCTGTGATCTCATCACTCAGGAGCCGAGGCAGGTAGCCTGGGGGTTCAAGACCAGCTTGGGCCGCACAGGAGATCTTCTCACAAGAAAAAGGGGAGAGAGGGGCAATCGAAACAGAACAAACAACCTTCATACAAAAGATTCCAGAATGAGAGATATCACTGTTAAAACTGGAGATGTCCTGGGCAGCACAGGCACACACACACACACACACACACACACACACACACACACACACACACCACACACTATAATAGCATAGCATGGTATCTTCTCCTCTGAGAGAGGAAAAAAAAAAACCCTGCAGATGATCTGAAAATCCATTAGCTCATAAGGTGCTTAATAACTTCTTTTCTCGGTCTTTCTTGGCAGGATTTCAAATCCCAGCTCGAATTTGGATAGTCTTATATTGTCTGCTTCACGGGGCCTAGGATCACGTTGGAGACTATTTTTCTGGAATGTCTGTAGGGGACTTTCTAGACAAAATTATCTGATGCTGGAAGGACCCACTCTAACTTTGGGCAGCATCGTCCCATGGGCTGAATGAAAAGGAGTATGTGACCCGAGCGCCTGCAGTCGTCACCCTGCGCTTCCTGACTGTGGATGCAACATACCCAGCTGCCTCAGTTTCCCCACCATGCTACCCCCCTCAAACTGTAAGCTGGATAAACCCTTATTTTCCTAAGCTCAGGGTATTCTGTCACTGCCATGAGAAACATAACATATACAGCCTGGTACTCCCTATGTAACCCAGACTGTCCTCGAACTTAAGACCCTCTTGTGCCTCCTAAGTGCTGGAGTTACAGATGTGAAATAGTATGGTTTGTTGTATCTCTTCATTTCATTTTAATTAATAGGGGTGTGTGTGTGTGTGTGTGTGTGTGTGTGTGTGTGTGTGTGCGCACATTGTGGCACACATATGGAGATCAGAGGGCATCTCGAAGGAATTACTTTTCTCTTTCCACCATGTAGGTCCTGAGGATTGAACTCGGGTCATCATGCTTGGCAGCAGGTGACTGCTCAGTGAGCCATTTTGCTGGTCTGTTGCTGAATTTTGATCAGTTGCTACCTTGTCCCCAATGACTCTCACCTTACCTTCTATAACTCCAATCTGATTGTACAGATGTTAAAGGAATACTGTTCTACTATACCAGAACCTGTGGGTTGTGACCCATTTTGGGGGGGAGGGTCACATATCAGATATCCTTCATACGATATATTTATATTAAAATTCATAACAGCAGCAAATTCACAGTTATGAGTTAGCAATGAAATAATTTTATGTTTGGGAGTCACCACAACATGAGGAACTGTATTAAAGGGTCGCAGCATCAGGAAGGTTGAGAAGCAATGGTTTATACATATATACACATATATGTATATATATTATAATATCTACCATTACAGCTATTAATGCCACATAAGATTGATATTTGGCCAAAAATAGAGGCAGGGGGCTGGAGAGATGGTGGGTAAGAGCTCTGGCTGTGCAAGCATGAAGACCTGAGTTCTGATCCTTAGCACCCATATAAAAAACTGGCTAAGGTCACCTGCACCTGTAGTCCCAATACCAGGGAGATACAGTACAGAAGGATCCCAGGCACTTGCTGGCCTGAGCCAACCTAAACATGGTGAGCTCCGGGTTTAGTGAGAGACTATGTCATGGAAGTACTAAGACTGGAAGGGACAGAACAGGATACCCATTGTCCTCCCTTGGCCTTTGCATGCATGCACAGGTGTGTATACTCACTCCCCCCGCCCCCGCCCCACACCCATCCCAAACACACATCAAAACTTTTGGGACAGCAAGATAGGTCAGCCTGTAAAGGTGTTTGCTAGCAAGTCTGAAGATCTGAGTTCTATTCCCAGGACCCTCATGGTGGAACGATGGAACCAACTCCCACCAGGTCTCATCTGACCTCCCCATGCATACCTCGACACAAGTGTCCCTTCAATATCAATATTTTTTCAATTTAAATTTAAGCTGGGTGGTGGTGGTACACACCTTTAATCCCAGCACTTTGGGAGGCAGAGCCAGGCGGATCTCTGTGAGTTCGAGGCCAGCCTGGTCTACAGAGCAAGATCCAGGACAGGCTCCAAAGCTATGCAGAGAAAACTTGTCTCAAAAAACCAAAAAAAAAAAAAAGTTAAATTTAAAGCCAAATAAACAAAGCATGGAACTGGGTGTTACGTGAGGCATTCTGTAACCTCACTAGGTATGCATCCCCCATTGACAAGAAAGAGCAAAGACTGTGGGCTAACGACATAGATCCACACTTACCATCCGGGGACAGTCTGCTCATCAGCCCTGAGGAAGGAGACAAAAACCAGAATGCTGTTAACACACACAGCAATTGCAACAGAAAGAAAATCCACAAGGAATGGATTTTCCCAGTCCGACGGATTCAGCCAGCTCTCTGGGGGAAGTGCAACTGTGGTGCCCTAGGTATTGAGGCCAAGGCCATTTTAGGATGGCAGGACGTAGAGCATTTAAGTTCAGTTAGTTTTTTTTTAATGGCTTTTTGCCCCCCAACAATAGGCAATAAGTTTCCATTTCTTGTGGCTTTTCACCCCCAGCAGTTTCTCTTTCTCTGGGATGCAGCCCATTTTCCCCTCACACGAGGTGAATCTCTCTGGACCTGTTACACCCCAAGAACAAAGGAAGTTGGGAAATCTACTCTGACCCCAGCCAGTCCACCATTTGGGCATTTCTGCATTTGTGGACATAGACAGAGACTCGGTCCCTGCTGTGGAAGGGACGCAGATAGACAACTTCAGATCAGCAGAAAACAGGATAGAGAATTGTGGGAGACCCTAACCCTAAATAAAACCCCTTAGAGCTGCTGCACTCCTCAGAGTCCCTCCTCTACCGGATAAATCTACACCACCGGCCATGGACTTTCACTGTGTGCCAAGCTCTTTTCCTGACTGTTCTGGAGCTTGTTCTGTAGGCCAGGCTGGCCTCGAACTCACAGAGAGTCTTCTCATTCTTTAACTAATGAAGAAAAGGAAAACCCACCCACCAGCTAGCATCAACATGACTTAGAGCAATGGTTCTCAACCTGGGGGTCAAATGACGCTTTTACGGGGGTCACCTAAGACCATCTGCATATCAGGTATCTACATTGTGATTCATAACAGTAGCAAAATTACTGTTATAAAGTAGCAATGAAAATCATTTTATGGTTGGGGGTCACCATGGAGTGAGGAATTGTATTAAAGGGTCTCAGCATTAGAAAGGTTGAGAACCACTGATTTAGAATTTCCTTAAATAGTCTCAATTCCTTGTCCCAGCTCAGTCAAATAAGGCATCATTTGCTTCCAGTGAGGTCTGCACACCAAGTCGGAAGGCAATTTCATCATTGTGCAAGCATCATGGAATGGACTTCCTCAAACTGAGGTTTTGGTTATGGCATTGATATGTGGTATTAGAGTCTGTTGGAGTGTAGACAATTCATCACTGGCCCAACATATGGTTGTCATACAGCACATGACCATGACCCCAACACATTCTGAATTAGTTCCATCTTTGAGTTTCCACCATCTGAGCATGACGCACGCTGAAAATCTTACCAATTTTCTATGTGTATGTGTGTGCTCAGGTGTATGCAGATGCATGTGTGTGCATAGTGAGGCCAAAGGTCAACCTCCAATGCTGTTTGAGGAGCCATTCATCTTGTCATTCCCCTTACCCCCAAGATTTAATTTTTAAAAGTGTTAATTAGGTGTATGTGGGTATGTGCATGTGAATGCAATGCCCACAGAGACCAGAAGAGGGCGACAGATCCCTTGGAGCTGGAGTTATAAGCAGTTGTGGGCTGCTGGATGTGACTGTTGGGAACTGAACTCAGATCCTCTGGAAGATCAGTAGGTGCTCCTAACCACAGAGCCATTTCTCTAGCCCCTGCTCTGTTCTTTATTTTAAAAGTGAGGAGTTGCCCATACCATACTGCGTGCATGGAGGGCAGAGGATAACTTGCTGGAGTTGGTTCTCTCTCTTTACCATGTGTTTCTAGGATGAGGTCAGGTCATCAAGAAGCAGGCACTTCTATCCCCTGAGCCATCTTGTCAACCTCCTTTAAAAATATGCATGTATTTGTGCTTGTGTGTGTGTGTGTGTGTGTGTGTGTGTGTGTGTGTGTGCACACCATGGTAGATGTTGGAGGTCAAAAGACAACCTTGCGTGCAGTCCACAATTTTAATTTTTTGAGACAGGGTCTATGTAGCCGGTAGTCCTGTAACTTACTCTATAGACCAGGCTGGCCTCAAACTCACAGAGATCCTGCCTCTACCTCTGTCCTGAGTGCTAGGGTTAAAGGTATGTACCATTACTGTCTTCTAGCCCACAGATTCTTGCTCAAAGTCTTACATTGAACTTCCCAGCCCATGACATTGTCCATGTGTTCATATGCTTACCCACAATTCCTGACAGCAGCAGGACCGGGAGAGGTGACATGGTGGCCAAGATCACAGATGACACGCAGGACATTGAGCCAGGTGGGTCGTAGAGACAAAGCCATAATTAGAAAGTGACAAACAAGATCAGAAGCTGGGGACTGGGAACATGTTGGAAAGTGTAATCTATAATAGGTCAATGAGTCATGATGCATGGTCAGAGATGAAGACTCGGGTTCCTTGAGATCCCTAAGAGTCCCTTTGAGAGTCCCAAGAGTCCCTTTGCAGCAGACTGGAAGAGACCTTAGTGAGCTGAGAACAGCAGTCCATGGCCTGCAGCCATGCTGGAGGGAGAGGCAAGGCTGCTCTTTCATGACTCTAGAAGGAGGTCCCAGGCTCACCTCAGCTTGATCTGGGGATCCCAAATGTCTGCCTTCTGGGGCGGGAATATCAGCTGGGATATCATGCCCGTTGGCTTTGTTATAAGCTCTGGGGATCTGAACTCATGTCCTAATGCTTTCAGCAGATGCATTAACCACTGAGCCGTCTTCCCAGCCCATGTGACTTTTTCTGTTTGAATGTGTCTGACCAAATTAAATCTAGGGTAGATCTAAAGTTTGCTTTCTGGCCAAATGGCTTTTGTTTCTGTCCCATTCTGAAGCTTGTATTAACAAGGAAGGCCTTTTTAGGGCCTTCAAACTGTTCTCTCTCTCTCTCTCTCTCTCTCTCTCTCTCTCTCTCTCTCTCTCTCTCTCTCTCTCTCTCGTTGTTGCTGTTCAGTGAAAAATTTGTGATTAGTCAGATATGGTGGTGCAGGCTTTAATATCAGCACTTGGGAGGCAGAGACACGGTGGATCTCTGAGAGTTTAAGGCCAGCTTGATCTACATAGTGAGCTCCAGGCCAGCCAGGGCTACATAGTGAAACCCTGTCTCAAAACAAAACAAAAAAGAAAATGTCATGATTAAAGATGACCATACCAGAAAGATTTCGGTCCACTGTCTTTATGATGCACACAGAGCATGCTCAGAGACGTTCCTGTCAATCATCTGAAAACACGAGCTGAGCATGCTCAGAAGCATTTCTCCACCAGGTTTGTGATTCAAACTGGACATGCTCAGGTGTGTCCCTGGCTGCCATCTATAACTTTTATAACATGACCCTGAGCTAAACATGCCCCACAATGTATTTTCCATGATCCCTTCTTTAGTTGGGACCTTTGACTAAGCATATTGGGGAATACACCTTCCGTTATGTGCTTTCCTTGGAGGAGGACTCTGCCATGGAAATCACGACTGTCTCTCCCTGTCTGCTGCGGATGATAATTCTTTCTTTACTCTTTTTTTTTTCTTGGCTGAGTTTGCTTTGATCTTGCTCTCACCAAGACGCAAACCAGGTACATATGGACCAAGGAAAAAACACTGAGTTTTTGGAGGGAAAAGAGTGGTGCTTGAATTCTATCAAAGGAGGTATTCTAGGTACTCAAGTTCTCTTCAGCCCCTAGATTAGAAGCTGGGATGGGGACACCGGAGAGGAAATGCTTGTTGAAAGTCAGCGGATATTATTTCTGTGGGACAAAGGCACCTAGAGCAGATGGATGGAGAAGGAAATAAATTGAGACCTTACCTTTCAGCACTGCAGTCATGAGAGCATCGGGAAGGAGGAGGTGAGCCAGGACCAATGAGAACATTTGTCCAATCAAAGTTGAGAAGGAATTTGGAATCAGTCAAGTCATCCTTTGTGCATCCTCCCTCAGGGCACTCCAAAGATCCCCCTCCCCCCAATAGGGTAAGGAACCAGAATGGGGAGCTTTCATGTAACCTATGGTTCCTCCTTCTCTTTGAAGACACGTTTATTGCAGAAGTGAGAACTCCAGGGTACCAGTTATGTGAGGAATCTAAAGCCTCCCTGGTCCACTTGACTTCCAGGAGATTAGCAGACTATGGTCTCCAGAACAACCCTCACCTTCTGTTCTCAGCTGGGCGCTGAGATGGTTACTTCTCAGTAAAGAAGAGAGCCTGTCTGCCCTGAAACTCACCAGTGAATACACAATCCAGCCTGTTTGTACAGATAACGTAGGCTCTTAACCGGGTCAGTTCATTGATCCTACTGACACCAATATCAAGCTGTAGTCATGGAAACCAATGACTCTTTCTTCCTGCCTTGCACGCACCATTCCTACAAGATCTAAGAGAATGGCTGACCTTAAAGTGGATCCCATCCCCACCCCCACGACCTTCAGATCTAGGCTGAATGGCCATGTTCAAGTTGAGCGTTCTCTGAGTCTGCTCCTGCAAAATGTGATGGTCGGGTGTTTGCCCCTCTCTGCCATCTCCCTGAGCTGAATCCCCACCCCAACCCTTGTTTATATTTGGAGGGATTGTGACTTACATTTGACTGGAAGAGGAGTCAGAACCAGGAGCCAGTGAGTCAGCATGGGAAACAGAGGTAGAAGAAGAGGGTAGGGTTAGTACGCACGCAAACTACCTCAGTCTCCCCATGTACTTCTTTGTTCCTTCATGGAATGCTTACATGCTCACTGTTATGCAGCCAGGGGCTTCTACGCAATCGGTTGCATATAATTTGAGAAAGGTCAAAATGGTGGTAACACTGATTGCCAAAAGCGTTCAGAACCCTCCCCTGGTAATTTGAATAAGAATGGTCCCTATAGGCTTATAGATTTGAATGGTTGGTCATCAGGGAGCGGCACTATTAGGAGGTGTGGCTCTGTTGGAGGGGTGTGGCCTTGTGGGAGGAAGTGTGTCACTGGGGGTGGGCTTTGAGGTTTCAAATGCTGTCTGCTGATTCAGATGTAGAACTCTCAGCTCCCTCCCCAGCGCCATGTCTGCCTGCGTGCTGCCGTGCTCCCTGCCGTGATGATAATGACTAAATCTCTGAACGTAAGCCAGCCCCAATGAAACGTTTTTCTTTCTAAGAGTTGCTGTGGTCATGGTGTCTCCTCACAGCAACAGAACACTGACTAAGACACCTCCTTTAGTCTTGTGTTTTTTAAATTAGCTTTACATATATACATATTTGCATATACACATGTATCTACACACATATATATGTATGCCTAGAGACAAACAGATACATATCTATATAGATAGAGCACTACATTCATGTAGTTGGCCCTCAATATGAGCAGGCTCTGCATCCATTTATTCAAATAACCACAAACAATTTTTTTGCACTTTTTTTTCAAGACAGGGTTTTTTTTTTTGCACTTTTTATAACTCTATTTGATCATCAATAGTTAGTTCTTATAAGAAATATTTTAAAAAATATTTTTATGATTTATATATTTGAGCCAACCATACTGGTTCATGTCTATAATCTCAGCACTTGGGAGTTCGAGGCAGGAGGATTACCACAATTTTGAGGCCAGCCTAGACTACACAGTGAGACTTTGTTTTTTCAAAGAAAATGGGCTGGCAGGATGGCTCAGTGGGTAAACACTGCAAGCCTGGAGACTAGAGTTTGATACCCGGAACCTCTGTAAAGGTAGAAGGAGAGAACCAGTTCCACTAAGTCGCCCCCTAACCCTATGTTTTCTTATGTTTCTTGAGATTTTTATTTGCTTTTATTTTTATGTATGTGAGCATTTTACCTGCATGTCTGTCTGTCTGTGCACCACTTTCTTGTAGTGCCCTCAGATATAAGAAGAGGACATCAGATCCCCTGGAACTGGAGTTACGGATGGCGTGAGCCTCCCTGTGGGTGCTGGGAACCAAGCCTGGGTCCTCTGGAAGAACGGTCAGCACTCCTAACCACTGGGCCATCTCTCCAGCCCCTAACCTCCATATTTTAATAAGAGTTTTATGCCATTTTTATTTTGTGCGTATGGGTGTTTTACCTGCATGTATATAAATGCACTGCTTGTGGACCTCTTGCCCTCGGAGCCAAAAAGATGTGCCCCCCCCCCCACAGTAATAACAATGAATAAAATAAAATAAATTGCAGAAGATGTGGCGGCATTTCTGCTGAGCTCCTGGCTTGGCTTCAGAGAGCAGCACCTAGCCCTAATCCTTCCTTTGTTTAACCACACCTTTTATTTCTCTTACCTTTTGTTTCTCTTATTACCCTATGTGAATCTTGTTTGAGAGTCAAGGATCAGAGTCCCCAAGGATCAAAGGCCTTGCACCTGGCATTTGGTCTCTGGGAGCTCCTTTTAGGTTGCTTTGAAGGTACAGAAATTAACTATCTAAACTGTAAAAGAGAGTAAATAAATATGCCCTAGGTGAAGGGAAAAGGGCTTCAGTCCTTCAAGGCTGGACCCCCCTGCAGCCATGATAGGCTAAATTCATTCCTTTTTTTTTTTTTTTTTTTTTTTTGGTTTTTTGAGACAGGGTAGCCCAGGCTGGCCTCGAACTCACAGAGATCCACCTGCCTCTGCCTCCCGAGTGCTGGGAATAAAGGCGTGCGCCACCACTGCCCAGCTAAATTCATTCTTAAGATGCCTTAAGTGTCTTCATTCCACGAACCCGCGTGAACCCACACACTCGTGTAGTGACCACACAGCTACAAGAAGACTTGTAGGACTTGGTCTTCTTCCACAGTGGGTCCTGGGGGGTCGAACTCAAGCGGCCAGGCTTGGTGGCAAGTGCCTTGGCCCACTGAGCCACCTCACTGGGTCCGGAACTAAACATATGGACCTCCTCCCAAGAGAGTCAGAGAATGGATGGCACAGTGCAGGGCTTCGGACCCTTCTGCCACCTGGATTTGGCAACTCAGTGCCATGGCTTGTTTGGCATGCTCAAAGCACACTAAGTACCTAATTCCCATTGATTCCTTCTCTCTATTTTCAGCCCCAAACAATAGCATTACCTTATATTTGCATAGAAAAGCAATCTCTGTTTATTCAGTCCACCTGAGTACTAGGAATTTTCCCAGGCCATAGGTTTAAAGACAAGGGCTCATGCTCTCTGGGTATTCATAGTCTCAGAGGCCTTTCCCTGTTCCTTGTGTCATGGAGAAATAATTCTCAAGGGCCTGGCAAGAACCATTGAGTCATCCCTGGGGTCTTTTCAAAGGTGTGATGGCTGAGTGAATTAAAGGATGCTCCGGTGGCTGGGAAAGCATGATTTCACCTCATCACTGCATCCCTGGTTCTCGGTGTGTCGATAGCACCAAGCCCTGCCTCCTCTTCAGAAGCCTCGGTGGCTTGGCCTTGGCTTTGGATGATTGTGTGGCCCCGGAGTGTCTGCAGGTGTGTTTTGGAGGAGATGGTACTCGGTGGATGTGTGTGCTGTTCAGTAGGCTGGCAGAAGAAGGGGAAGCATCCTTGTTCTCTTGCAACTTCATCTCCTACACTTGGATGTCAAAACTCTAGGTTCTGCCCCTTGGAACTGCAGGGCTTAGGTCAGCAGCTCCCTGAGCCCATGGACCTTTGCCTTAGACTGAGAATTATATCACTGGTGTCTGTTTCTGAGACTTCAGGTTTGGACTGAGCCACACTGCCAAGCTCCCTGGTTCTCTAGCTTGGGATGTTCTGTTGTGTACCTTCTCAGTCCCCATCATCAAGGGAGCTAATATCCCAAATAAATCCCTTCACACCTGTATATTCCATTCCATTCTGTATATTCTATTTCTTATCATAGGTTATCCTAGTCTGTTCTATTCTATCTTTATATTCTATTTCCTAGTTTATTCTATATTAGCCAGTTCTATTCTATTTCTTTCTTTTCCTTGAGTTTGATGCCTGGAACCTATGTAAAGGCTGGACCTCACTATGTGGACCAGGTTGGCTTCGAACTCACAGGGATCCACCTGCCTCTGCCTCCTGAGTGCTGGGATTAAACTACTACCTGGTACTAACCCACTTCTGTTATATTTTCATTCTGTTCCTGCTTTTATTCTAGTCTACTTCCATTTCCGTTATGTTCTGTTTATTCTCTCTAGTCTGTTCTTTCTGGTTCTCTGGAGAAATCTGGCTGAAACAGTTTGCTCAACACTCGAACTCCTTCCCTGTTTGAGATGGCATTTTAATTTACTTCAGTCCAATTCACACATCATAACAGACTGGACGTAGCTACAGATGTGAGAACCAGATGTTTTCTATTAAGCCAGCCTAGTTTTTTGAAGCAGGGTCTCATGTAGAACAGGCTAGCCCTGTACTCACTGTGTAGCTGAGGACGACCTTGAACTTCCAATTCTTCTGCCTCCACCTCCTGAGTGCTGGTTTTACAGGTACTGGCATGCCTGGCAGCTGCTTACTTTTTAATAGTTGTTTTGTGACCCTCAAGCCAAGATTGTATGGCAGACTGAAGCCACACTCGGCCCTTCCCCAGAATTCCCAGAGGGTTTTCGGACCCAACAGAATCTGAGAGGAGCCACCTATGAGAGCACAAACATGGGTTAGCTACAGTTCTTACTTTTTTCTTCCATTGCGACTGGAGGCAAAAGCATAGTTCATGTGGATTCCAATGGGGCCGGGAAGCAGGTGCAGGGAGAGAATTAGACATGAGACTCAAAGCACTACAATAATCAAGACCACCACAACTGTCATGGTTTTGGAGGCTAGCTACTACACACAGTTTCTATCAAAGTTCCTCAGGTTCACTCATCTACTCACCCACATATCTACCCACCATCTCCGCATGTCTGCCTATCACCCATCTACTTATCCATTCACCCCCACACCTATTATCCACCTACTGATTCCCCACCCTCTCCTCTAGCCATCCACTCACCCACTCACCATCCATCATCCATCCACCACAGAGAAACCCTGTCTCAAAAAAACCAAAAAGAAAAAAAAAACCCAAAGAATGGATAAAGAGAAGAGAAAATCTTTATATTCTATTTGGTAGACACTATAGCAATTCCCCCACCCTGCCTTTTTTGTTTTGTTTTTGGTTTTTGAGACAGGGTTTCACTGTGCAGTTCTGGCTGTCCTGGAACTCAATTTGTAGACCAGGCTGGCCTTGAACTCAGGGATCCAACTGCCTCTGCCTCCCAAGTGCTGGGATTAAAGGGGTGCGCCACCACTGCCAGAAATCCCATCTTAAGGCAAGATCTACAGGTGACTGCTAAAATTAATTGGCCAAGATGAAAAAGAGTATATATATATATATATATATATATATATATATATATATATATATATATATAATGTAGTCTAAGTATCTTCCCCACATATTTATCAATTACAAGAAAGGAAATAGTAACAGGTAGTGGAGAAACCTGGTTTTCCAACAACCTTAGCCAAGAGATCAAAGAGAACATCATAGGCTAGAGACAAACCGTTATCAATCACTTGGCTATAACTCCCCAGTGAGGACACACTGTGGCTGCAGTGTCTTCTTGCCCCAAATGCATAACCTCAGTCTAAGCATGGGAAAACCTCAGGGAAAGTCAGTCAGTCTAGGAGACATTCTGAGACCAGCCGACCAGAATCATTTAAATGTTTGGAGTTCATGAAAGACAGGAAAAGACTGATGACTCAGGAGAAGAAGGGCAGGCGAGATGACCCAGCAGGTAAAGGTACTGTCCCCACCAAAGCCTGATGGTCTGGGTTCGATGCTGGGATTCGCATGGTGGAAGGAGAGAACCAACTCCTATAAGCTGCCTTCTGATCTTCACATGCACAGACAGACTGATAGATGGTAGATAGGTAGGTAGATAAATAGATAGATAGATGATAGATAGATAGATGATAGATGACAGACAGATAGATTCAACTTTTGAAATAGGAGAAGAGAAAGGAAGGAAAAGAAGGGGAAAGAGAAGGAGGAAGAAGTAACCACACGCCTCATATGACCCCCATAACCTGTATATTCTGGTCCCCACATTCTCTCTATTCTTGCTCGAACCTTCCCTCGCCCGCCATGCTCTCATCCACGCTGACTATTCTCAGAGCCTCGAAGGCCCTCGGCGTCTTGAGCCCACCCTCTTTTCGCACACGCGGTTCCGTCTGCCCGAAATAACGTGTAACCACTTTAGCTGGCTAGCTCCTGCTTCTTGTTGAAGTCTCGTCTCAAACGTCACACTTCAGGAATGGTCTTGCCTACAGCTCCCTACTGTAGGGATGTGGTTATCTGCTCCTCATGAGGATCACATCGAGACAGAGTTATGCCCACCTCTCCCCAACTCTATTCCCAGCACTGAGGACAAGCTAAAACTGGAAAGCACTGTAGATCTGGTAGTGGAGGAAACAGTGCCGGCTCATGACAGGACTTGAGACTTTCCAGTGTAGCCTTTGGCATCTTTACGCTGTAAAGGACCGGCATCTCTGACACTCTGGCTAGAGGGCTGGTGACTCCCGGCACCACACAAATTCTACCTCTGCAGTGACACAGAGCAGTCCAGGGTCTCGGTGTAAAGGACTGGCATCTGCCTTACACTCAGGCTACAGGGCTGGTGACTCCACTACACAAATGTCATCTCTGCAGTGACGCAAAGCCGTCCAGGAGAGTCTGTGACTAACGAGGAGCAGAAGAGGACAAGAAGCTGACCGACACAGACAGGTGGGTCTCTCTCCTATGTGGCAAAAAGTCACTTATGAGAACCACACAGTATGCTCATCTCCAGGTGTAGACACTAGTACCTCCAAGGGTAAGGCCACAAACTAGAAGCCACTGGTATCTTGACGGGCAACCCAGGACTCTTGCAGCCATCTCCACTAGGGAAAAGAGAAGGAACTGCCTAAGCCCAAAGCAAGGAAACCTGTGGTAGACCTCAGAAATGCTTATTGAATCCAGCCTCAGTGGCCTCCCCATCCTAAGATGCCACGGAGAAGAGTTTAGGAGTGGGTGGAAGCCTTACCTTCACGAGGAATGCAGGCCTCTGTCAGGCCCAGGAAAAGGAGGACCACCAGGGACCTCTTCAGAAACGGCTCCAATCTGCACATAGTGGGGCCTGGACAGGGTGCCTGGTCTTCTCCCTCAAGGCTCAAGAGGACTCTGCTCACTCACTGCTCTCCTGGGCTCTCAAGGCAAAATTCACTGCCTACACATGCCCTCCAGCTACCCGGAGGCAGTCAGCTGGTGAGACCTTTGCCCACACCACCAGCTTCTGGCCCAGCAACTGCCCCTCTCCACCAGCACCTGATATTTATCTCAAAGCAACACTCTATGATGATGACATGTTGTACCCACTTGCTCGTTTTCCTGTGGCCCAAATGTAACATCTTGTTTGGTGACATTTGTAGCTAACAGTGACTTTTGCATTTTAATTTTAATTTTTTTAACATGATATTTTTAAATTTAACATTTTTAAAATGATGTTTTATTTGTGCTGAAATGTGGTGATATTTTATTTGTATGTTAATAAATAAAGTTTGCCCAGCTAGCTCAGTGTGGGTGTTTTACCTACATATGTTTGTATATCACATGCATTCAGGACCCTCAGAGGCCAGAAGAGGGTGTCAGCTCTCTGGCACCAGAGTTAGGATGGTTGTGAACCACCATGTGGGTGCTGGGAATCGAACCCAGGTCCTCTGGAAGAGCAGCCAGCGCTCTTAACCATGGAGCCATCAATTCAGCCCCTACTGGGTATGTTGTTGTTGCTTTGAGACAGGATCTCACTTTGTATTCCGGGCTAGACTCGAATCCATGGTGATCCTCCTGCCTCAGTGTCCCAACTTTTGGAATTATAGTCACGTGCTACCACACCAAGAACAATTTTTTTTTTTTGAGGCAAGGCATCACATAACCCAACCTAGCCTGGAATTCACTGTGTCACTGAAAATGACCTTAAGTGTTTGCCCCTGATTCTCCAGTGTTTGGGACAACAGGTGTCACCACCATACCCAGTTTATGTGGTTCCGGGGATCGAACCCAGGCAAGCACTAAGCATTCTATCATCCAAGCTATACCTGGTCCCCTATTTCTATTTCACATTTTTTTGTTTGCTTGCTTGTTTTGAGGGGTGTTGTGGGTGTGTGCACATTCAGACAAGGGCACGTGGATGGAGGTCATCGGACAACATGGTAGAGTTGGTTGTCTCCTACTGTGTGAGTCTCAGGGATCCAACTCAGGTAATTAGGCTTAGCAGCAAGTGCCTTTACCTGCCTTACCATCTCCCAGGCTCCTCTTTTTGTATGCTTTTAAGGCAGGTTCTCGCCTTGTGGCCCAGACGAACCTTGAATTTAAGACCCTCAGCCTCCCAGTTTCTGAGATGACATACAAACATCACCGTATCTGGCTGCAAAGTAATAATGAGGACATTCTCTTGGTGGAGAATGGACAGGTGTAGTTCAGATGGACTGGGAGATGATGTGAGCATCTCTGAAAACCACAGCAAAGCTGAGTGTGCAAGTTCATTACTGGGGACGCTGAGGCAGGAGGATCACAAGTTCCCAAGTTTCAGGCAGATCTGGCCTGTGTAGTGAGAACCATGGGGGAGGGAGGAAGGGAGGGAGGGAGGGAGGGAGGGAGGGAGGGAAAGAGAAGAGGAAAGAGACCTCAGCAGGGGTGTTTGTCAACCCCACCAGCCTGGGAGGTCTTCAAAGGCAAGGACTCTTTTCTCACACTATCCCTAATGTCAACACACGCCTGCTCCACAAAAGGAACTTGGTAGTTAACTGAAAGCCGCTTGAGCATCCCAAGCGTCCCGAGTGTCACTCTTGGAAAAGGTAGGGCTGACTGACTTCAAGTGCTCACCCTGCTCCTGCCTTGGGATGGGACTGGCTGAGTTTGCTTTCTGTTTCTGTCTGTGATAAAAAACAGACTAAAAACAACTTGAAGAGGAAAGGGTTTATTTGGAGTTCAGGTTCCAGTCGAAGATCAAAAGTCTAAAGGGAGTCGGGGCAGCAACTTATGGCAGGGAACTGAAGCAGAGACCGTGAAGAAAATTGCCTACTGGTTTACTCCCCCGTGGTGGCTGACTTGCTCAGCCTCCTTGCCATTACAACCCAGGACCATCTGCCTGGGGGTAGCACCGCCCACAGTGGGCTGCTCCCTCTCCCATCAATCACTAGTCCAGAACCCGCCCCCATAGACTTGCTTACTGATGGAGGCGTTTTCTCAGGAGGTACCTCTTCCCAGGTGACTCTAGTTTGTGTGGAGTCGATGAGGGACCCAAGCCACGCAAGCGCTGAGGGTCAGACGAGGAGGGCATTCTGGGCAGCTGCCAAGGACTTCCAGAGCCTCCCTGGGGCTCCGTCTCCGGTCAGGCAAGGGACAGTGTCAGAGGTGGGGAAGCCCGTCAGCGCCTCGGGAACCAGGGAACCAGCGTCTAGGTTCTGCGATCAGCGATCCCTGTCGCACTGACAGAACACTGAGGGCCCCATCCTGGTGAGCCAGCCTTCTGTGTCCTCCCCCAGCTTCGGCTCCACCACCCGCTTTGTTCTCCCAGCCCCGGGCAGTGTCTGCTCCTGGGCTTCTACCAGCCCGAATGCCCTCCAGTCTCTTACTCCTCTTCACCTCGCCCCTGTTCAAACCCGGGGACCCTTCCCACCTCTTCCTTTAGTCCTTCCCGCTCCTGATCTGAGACGTCGCTCTCTCTGCACTCTCAACACTGGGCTGATGAGACCCTCTCCAAGCCAGCAGGGCGTTCAGGAAACTGTCCCAAAAGAGGAGAGAAAGGAAGTGGAGTGGGGGGAGAGGAAGAGAAGAAACAGGGGACGGGAGGGGAGGGGAAAGGAGGGAAGAGAAAGAAGAAAAGAGGGGGAGAACAGAGGAGAGGAGGGGAGAGGAGGGGAGGGGAGGGGAGGGGAGGGGAGGGGAGGGGAGGGGAGGGGAGGGGAGGGGAGGGGAGGACGGGAGGGAAGAAGAGGAGGGGCAGAGCAGAGGAGAGAGGAGCAGAGGACAGGAGAGCAGAGGAGAGGACCTCTATTGCTGACTGAGGTGTCTCCTTGTCCTCACTTGTCTCCGACACCTTGACTGACAAGCTCTCCACCTCAGGTCACCTTTCCATCTCCAGGCTCCCTTTAAGCAGCGGTTCTCAACCTTCCTAACTAACGCCAGACCCTTGAATACAGTTAGTTCCTCATATTGTGGTGACCGCCCCCAACCATGAAATTATTTTCGTTGCGACTTCATAACTGTCATTTTTCTGCCGTGAATCATAATGTAAATATCGGATGTGTGACCGCCCTCCCCCCCAGGGGCCACGGCCCACGGGTTGAGAACCACTGCTTTAGGGGCTTTCCGCCGCAATCTTGGTTTTCTTTGTCGCCATCTGAGACTCCAACATAAACTCGTGCCTTCCATCTCTCCAGCGATGTCGGACTCTTCTCTACACCCACTGTAGAGATAGATGCCTTGCTGGGGCACCGGCATCACAGGACAACGGATGCATGCACAGTGTCCATTCAGAGTGACCCCCACTTCCTGGTTGTTTCTTACTAGGGCCAGGGAAACTTATATTCAGAGACGGGAGCACAGTAGCCTGATACACGCGTGTGGCATGAGGAACTCAGAGGCTGCTAGGCGCATTGTTTATTGGGGGGCGGGGTGGGGATGGGGTGTTTGTGCATAGGAAGTGCAAGTGAAGGAGCTGAGCTGTCACAAGGGGGCGTCTGTGTTTGCAATACAAACTAGTGTCCTAGGCTAAACTGTCTCCTATACTCCCTGCCTTAGGCAGAAGGGAGGGGGACAAATGAGAACCAAGTATAATGACACATATATGCGAAGAGGCCATGATAAAACGCATTACCCTGGCCACCCGGTGGTAGGACACACCTTTAATCCCAGCACTCGGGGAGGCAGAGGCAGGAGGATCTCTGTGAGTTCAAGGCCAGCCTGGTCTACAGAGCAAGATCCAGGACAGCCAGGGCTGTTACACAGAGAAACCCTGTCTTGAAAAAGCAAACAACAAACAAAAACACCTCATTACTCTGTCTGCTAGCCTACAAAATGAATTTCATATATATATATATATATATATATATATATATACACACATACATATAATGTTCATATCACGTGTGGGACATATGCACATTTGACAGCTCTTCACATCTGCATTCCACATCCTCTGATTCAGCCATCTTCAGATGGTTAAATACTTGAAGAAAAAAAAAATGCACCGAGGCTGGGAGGTGGCTCATTGGGCAAGAGCACATCCAAATGTGAGAACCTTAGTTCAAGTCTCCAGAGCCTTCCAAGGAAGCTGGACGTGGTCACGCCCACCCGGAACCCCCAACGTTGTCGGGGGTGCACAGAGAAAGAGCAGTGGCTGGAGCTTGCTGGCTGCCAGCTAGTACCATGTCCAAGGAGAGCTCCTGCCTCAAAAGAATAAGGTGAAGAGTGATGGAGCAGATCACCTGACACACACACACACACACAGAGTTACATCCGTATTGAACGTTGCAGACTTCTTGTCACATCACTTCTTCAACAATACAGTGTAATAGTTAGTTGCATAGAATTTCATTGCATCAGCTGTTATAAGTGATTTGAGGTTTTGGTTTTTCGAGACAAAGTTTCTCTGTGCAGCCCTAGCTGTCCTAGAACTCTCTATGTAGACCAGGCTTGCCTTGAACTCACAGAGATCCCCCTGCCTCTTCCCCCTCCCCCCAGTGCTGGGATTAAAGCGTGCACCACCGCTGCCTGGCTTTGAGGTGATTTAATATGAGATCATGCATAGATTACATGGAAATTGGGATGCAGCTTTTTAATAATGAATTTGAGCATCCATTGATTTTTGGCTTTTAGAAGCAGATATTGGACTACTCTCCCAAGAATCCTAAGGGACAGTTATTAGGTGTGTCCAAATTTTTTATGCACACAAATGTAGATATTTATGCATACACACAAAAATCTTTAAAAGCCACCATCAGTATTAAACTTGTCACTGGAGTCAGGAAGAGTGGAGCCTGTCTGTAAACCCAGCACTGGGAAGGTGGAGGGCGTAGAATCAGGAGTTCAAAGCCAGACTTGGTGACATGGCCAGTTAGAGGCCAAC